GTGTTTTGGATTTTGCTCTGCTTCCTCAGGAATCTAGCTTTACGTGCAATGTCCGCGTTTTTTCGGGTTAAGTGATCATTGAGGAAAACATTGCTTCCCTTCAGTTTCCTCCCTTGCTTCAGCAGAGCAATCTTATTCTTCCTGTTGGTGAATCTCATGATGACAGCAGTCGTGTCGTTGTCCTTTCTGTGTAGAGGGTGACAGGCCTCAATATTCTCCAAGTCCAGTGATATGTCTTTGGACGCAAGAAAGGCTGCCACCTGCTGTTCCACTGAGCGCATCTCTGACTCCTCGGGCTCAGTTCCACTTCCAGCGGTCACTGCCTTGGCATATGACCGGGGCCTGATCTTTAACCCGGTCACGACAATATCGTTGATCCTAGAGTACTGCTCCAGATCCTCTACCCTCTTCTCCAGGTCTGTGATCTTCTTGTCCTTCTCTGCATTCAATAAGCGCAGCTGCTTCACTTCCTCCACTAAGTGTAGAAGTTGTTTCTGCTGGCTCCTTATTGCAGTAGTCTTCGCAGTGATAAAGTCCAACGACCTTTTAATTTCCCCAACATCCTCAGCAGATGATGACGCGCTTGTATCACTTTGCTGGCTCCTCATTGCAGTGACTTCAGCAGACAAGGAGTCGAGTGATTTTCGCAGTTCCTCCACTTCCTCAGTAGCGTAAGTTTTCTTCGGCGGCATCGTTCCAGATTTTGTCTTACAAGCTTATGCCAATATGATCTGAAGAATGCGTAAAGCTGTCGTACTTTCCCAGTCCGCGGTGTTTTTGGGCTCGTTGTACTTTTCCTGTGAGTTCTCCGCTCGTCCCAATCGTCCTAAATCAAAGTGTTGTTTACTTCTGTTGCCATGTTGACGTACTAGAAACTAGTGAATAAACGCGCGAAAATAGTGTAAACTTATTCGAACATGTCGTAATGGAAACGGCCGCTTTTGCGAATTACAGGTTTTTCGAATTTTGAAATGTATCGAAAAAGTTTTTGCGCATTATTCAATGGAAACGCAGCTTGTGTGAGTTTTTGGTCCGGCCTGTTTTTATTTGTATTTTTTGCTTGCTACTTTTGTATCCTGTGTTCAGGTTTGTATCTTGTCTCTACTGCTTGTTTTCTGTTATCTTTTTGTTTTTTTGTTAAGAAAACTACTGTCAAGTACTGTCTCTGTCTCTGCTTTGGGGCCCTGTACACAACCGTAACATCAGCACTAAAATTAGAAAAGAGCACATTAAAGGCATAATATGCTCAATGTGTGTTTTGCATATTATTTCATGCTTGTCCACCTGATTAGTTGTTGTACCCACATTTGAGTAATAATGTCAGTGTCAATAAAGTTTCCCATTGTGCACGTACTGTATATGCTGTTACGCTCAGAAACATTGAACTCTAAAGATTTATTTAATTTATATAGAATCCATTGGTCACACTTAGTTTAGCTCTCAATAAATAACAACAACATGAGTTCTAATTGGTGTATAATTTATGGTTAATTAGCTCTTAATTGGTATTTATTATGTATTTATTAGTCTGTATGCTACATGGCCGTATTCAATATTTATCTCATTACTAACTGACACTGTTCCCATGTGGGTTAGGGACAGGTAGTGTAGAGGGACGGAGGACTGAGCACCGAGCGCCACATCTGTCAGCACAGAAGATGATCCACTCTGCTGGAACACTCTGAGGGAGCGTGCACATGGGAAAAACTGGACGCAGAAGAAACAACATGTTACTTCTTATCACCCAGAGTCAGGATTTTGCCCTGACTCTGGATGATAAGATGTAACAAACTCGTCTGAACTGGTCTTTGAATGGTTATCCGTTAACTCTCTTTTCCTTGGCCAAGTGATCAGAGAAGTCAAATTCCTCAACAGTATTCTACATGCAAACAAGCAATTAAAGATGGTCATTCATTATCATGACTTATGTAAGTAAAGTTATAATTCATAATTTATTGGCGGCAGGGTGGCTGAGTGGTTAGCAGTCTCACTTCTCATCAAGAAGTAGGTTTTTCCAGGTGCTCTGGCTTCCCCTACCTCTAAAAACAAAACACAAAAGTTAATATCCTCCAGCTCTGATCCTGACTAAGATAACATAAACCTTTATTCGTCCCTCTGTGTGTCAGAATAAAAAGAAAAAAACATAAGAGCACTCAGGTTAAGCACACAACAAACAGGATTTATTATTTAATATAATAACATAATGAAACTCTCAAGCGATAATTGCACTTGGTTAAAGGATAAAGCCGCGTTCAGACCGGATCATGCGTCGCGTCGGATTTCAATGCAAAGTCTATGGTAACGTGCGTTGCAGCGTCAAAACGCACCGACCTCCCGGCACGCACTTACGGACTGCTCAGTAGAGCCGCACGGACTTGGCGGGAAAGTGAAAGGGGAGGAGCAGGAGCGGAAAATGGACGCCCACAGGAAATAAACTTTGCTCAACTTTTCCTCGGGACGTTCGTGCAGCGACCAATCAGAGAGCAGCAAAGTGGTCACGGGGACATTGGTGGTGAGCGAGCAGACTGAACATACTGTAAACAGCCAAAACAGGAGCTATACCAGGACTAAACCAGGACTAAACCAGGGTTGACAATGGGGGACTGTGTGCTTGTAAATATATGCGTTGTCATTCTCTCGTGACTTTATGCAACTGCTTCGAGTGTGTTCGCTGGTGCGGAAATACCGTTTAATAATACAAAAAAACGTATGGCGCACCTCCTTGAACACAAACTACTGTTATATAAAGCCCGTGGAATGTCTGTGAGCAAAGACACGCTGCAAAGCTGAATATTGGAGAAGATCTATTCTGTACACAAGAAGCCGCTAGCATAGCTCTGTTAGCATCAGAGCCGGCCGGCTACTTCAGGTACTTCCGGCTCGCGTCAGGACGTTCTGTTGTGAAGTACTCTGCGTCTGAAAACTAGAGAATGCGCGTCTGGTGAGCGGGGCTTCAGCGTTTGAGCGTTTGCGGTCTGAATGCACCATTAGAACACTTGTGCAATATATGCTGTATTTGAAGCACTTTTCATCAGGTATTTCCAGAGCATCAACATCTTGAGCTGGGGCCCCATGGCTCTGTACCACGGACGACCACAGCTCCTGACAGAGGCCCTAGCGGCAATGGAGGATAGATCAAATGCATTTAAATACCATATCAAATTCATATATTCATCATTAACATTATCCTCCAATTCACAGAATGCAAATCAAGACTAAAATCAAGATACAGTGTATTTCCGAGCCTCCCTGAGTATGAATATAACACTTGAAGTATTCTTAAAAAACTTAGCAAAAACTTTATTTTGCATTAAATGGGCCCAACTAATGGCGATTTTCAAAGCGATCGTCGTAAAGAAAGACTGGATAAAGTGTAAGTGGAATGTAGTGGGGGAGGTGTCCAAAGCCCCCATAAAACAGCCATAAAGAGGGAGCAGTGTGTTATGACATGTAAATGGTTCCGCGGTCATGGGAAATTTATCCACAACTGAGGCCTCGTAAAACCTCCCACACCTCAGAGCGCCACACTCATTTCAGTCAGCACTAAAATGATGGCAGCGTTCAATAATTAAAATCCTGTAATGACAAGTACAAGAGGGAAAGACTTGAAACGGATGGAATAAGATCTCCTCAGCAGTTTTGCTGTTATCCATCCATCCATCCATCCATTCTACAGCTGCAGCCCTTGTCATATTTGGAGCCTCTTCTGATGGTAGTTAGGGAGGTGGGAGAGAGGGGTCCATGTTTTCCCTACCACTAAAAACATGTAGAATAGGTCTGAATGTAATGACAGAGTGAATACAAAGTGATGGTCAGAGGCCTTGATGCTCCTGTTTGTTCGGTGTCTCGCTTTTGTCATCACTGCGTAGGTTTCCTCCGGGTACTCCAGTTTCCCCTACCACTAAAAACATGCACACTAGGTTAAATCCTCCAGCTGCGGCCCTGACCAAGCCGAGCATCAGCATGCGGAGATGGGTTCCCGGGTGCTGTACTACGGCGACCACTGCTCCTGACGTAAGCCTTGGCGGCATCAGGATGGGTCAAATGGATAAATTGCCCTATGGGGATTAATAAAGTGCACAGTTACCTTTACCTTTACTGTGTCTGAAAAGAATGGAATTATATCTGGACCAACCCTAACTCCACATTGTGAGCTTCTTTGTGTGACCTTGGTCAGTGAAAGCACTATTTTAAAAGGAGATTATATACATAATTACATTGTCCCTTGACACAATCAACTGCAAAAGTCCAGAGTTTTGATTATGATTACAATTAGTGCTGTCAGCACTGGAGAAAACAAAAGCAGTCGCACTCACTGCTGATTACTGGACGTCCATCAGAATCACAACTATTTCCAAGTTACAGACAAACCAAGATAGTTATTTCCACTGTGCATGATTGTCATATAGACTGTAGAAACCATCTCACTGCTTTCAATGAAAACAAAAACAAAAGAGTAGCCTTCATTTGACATTTTACAATGTTAGTACTATGTTGATTAGTTCTATACACTGTAAAAAGCAGTAACTAAAGCAGAGATTGAGAAATGTTGTCTTTTTGGAGGGGATTGGATTAAAATATGATAATATGTGCACCGAGTGCACTTGTATATTGTATATCTTAGAAATGTATGCAGATTTTTACTATGCCTTACTCTATTCTCTACCTCTCTACTGCTACTGCTACTAAAAAGACAGCTCAGTTTGTCTCCATTTATCAAGCTCCAGCCACAGCTCTTGAAGGGCCCTGAGTCTGCACTTGAATTAGGTGTGCGTGAAGATTGTGAGTAAAGTATTTGCAGATGTCTGCAAATCTACAGATCTTAATTATTTGTGTGAGTTCAAAGCCATTTTTGTGCATTTACCAAACTCCATACAGAAATGCCACGTCTGAGGGAAGTAAAAGCACTAATCGTGGTGCCAAAAGTGCCATTTCTGTGTATCTGTGTGTGTGTGTGTGTGTGTGTGTGCACGGTTGTGTGTGTGCGTGCACATGTGTACCTGTTTGGACAGCAGCTCCTTGCACAGTGTGTAGAGGGTGATGAACTTGCGGGCGAGCGCTCGTGCGTTCAGGAAGCCCTCTGCCACCAGCATGATCTCACAGATGAGCTCAAAGTCTGGCACCACCATCGCACACGGCCTGAAGACAGAAGACACGCTCACATGAGAACTAATGCTTCTACTCAACTCAAGTCTCGGAGAATGTTACAAAGTTGTTGATTTGTCAAAAAAATCCAGAGAATCAGATGACATCAAAACATCAACATATTTGATATTCAGATCCTCTGGTCGTACACCCTGAATTCATGAAATTGTTCATCTCTTCAGAAAAATTCTTTGGACATCCATCTTTAGCAGCTGTCCGTCCCTTGAAAGAAATGTGATTCCTCAGTCTGTGATGAGACTGGGTTTTGGAGCAGTTTAATGAGGAAAAGTCTCACAAACTGTAGGTAAGTAAGTAAGTAATCTTTATTTATATACCGCCTTTCACAGACCAGAGTTACAAAGCGGTTTACAATTGTTATTTTTGAGCATTTGTCTCTCACTCCACACAGAGATGGGAGCATAGACCAGTGTTTTATTTACATATGAGCCACGTTCAGGGCTGTCATTGACAATTTTTAAATGTCAACAATAAAACTATTACCTTTTAAGAATTTGATTCACAAAAGGATTTCCAACAGTATTGAAAACAAGTTCATTCCACAAACTGATTGGTGTAATTGGGTGAACAAACAGCGCCCACGCTTGTACCAGATCTCTGTGAATAGTATCATTCATTTTTAGTATCAATCATTTATTAAACAAAAATAATTGCATTTCATTATGAATTCAGTAAGATCCAGAAGTGGCCTGGAAGTGCTCTGTTCATGGGGAGTGTTAGAGTAAAGGCTGGTTCTGTCCAGAGGCAACAACAGGACATTTCTGGGCAGGTCTGTTTCGTTTGAGCACTTTTCAATGAAGTCAGTGGAGACTCTTGTGAACGCAGAAAGTTGGCACTTTAATGGCTTGATACAGTGTTCTCAAACAAACGGCCTGAGAGTCATTTGCAGCCCTTGAAAAGGTATTTTGTGCCCTCCACAGTGGACATCAAACTTTAATGTCAGTGCAGCCCCCACTGAGCCTCTATTAAAACTCAACCACGCCATTTATATTGCCATAAACAGTGAACTCTGAATACAATAAGCAATAATTCAAAGTAAACATTATTAAACCCAGTCTATAAAACAAAGCCTCATTGCTTTTGGTTCAGTTTTGGTTTGATCACAGCAGCTGGAATTAGTTATTAGAAATATATGAAAATTATATCAAACTCCTATATCATGAACACCTTCACGATTATAAAATGTCACACACGCAAATAAGGAACTATAAAACCTCCCACAAACAATTGATTGTTGGTTTTCCTGTTTTTGTCTCTGTTTTTAGCCCAAACATTTACTTTTTCTACTGTTAATGTTAAAGAATGAGAAGATTCCACAGTTTGAAATATACGTGTTTTATATTTAGCCAGGAGCTAAACTGCGTGTACAAAATGAACCATTGTGTACATTATTAGTGGTTTGATTCTATCTCATTGTGTGCATAGATCTGTTTGCTTCGACGTTCATATATTTTGCACACACACAAACACACAAACCCGTGATAAACCTAAACCTTAATCCGGCCCAGCTTCACCCAGGCTCCACCTCATGCAGCTCCCAGATACATGAAGTGGATACATGACAATGGATGGTTTTATTTATGTGCTTGTCTTAAGCACACTGGGGACTTTTCTGCAAATGGGAAAAAAAAATTGGAAATGGGAAAAAAAATTATCTGAATCTTGTAATCCAGCAAATGTAATCCAGTACGATGAGTAAAAATCTCCTGACGCAAAGGCGAGGAAAAGGCGGGCAGATGAAAAGGTGAATACAGAGCTGCAGGAGATAATGTGGACTGTGAGGTCACCTGAAGAGGGCTTTGAGGTTCTCTGGGAGCTCCGTCCTGCCTGCGTACCCCGGGTTCATGGTGATAAAGATCCCCACCGAAGAGCATAAGTTCACCTCCTCCCCCATGAAGTCAAAACGAGCCTTCTTGTCTCGAATGGCGTCCTGGATACTCTTCACCTGCACACACAAATAGTCAAATGTATTGAGGTAAAGAGGGAACCTAAAAAAATGTATCGTAAAAATTTAATGTACTTAAAATGATGATATGATGAATAATAATTGTTTGTTGATAATAATCACAATCCCAGAAAATGTCTCACAAATATTATTCCGCTGGATGAATTATCTATATACTTTTTTCATATTTCTGTCCGCTTTGCACTTTCCACAGAGCAAACAACAGCATCCAATGGGTAAAATCAGGCGGAGCTTTCCCCTACATATGACAAAAAATAAATAAATACACTATGTGAAAAGTTTTTTAAAGTGTTTTAACATGCGAACTAAAGTGATTTACACAGACATATTGCATACTGTGTGAAAACCACTACCTTCATAATGAAAACCCGGAGAGCAACTGTGTGGTGAAGGAAGTGATGTCAACCAATGTTTTCATTTTGCACTGCAACTAAAACCTGTCCCTTTGTAATATTGTTCAAAATTATTTGTATTATTGATTAGAATATGTATTTATTTTTACATAACTACATGAATGATACTAAAGAGCAGTTTTGTAGGGAACTTCTCCAACAAGAAAGCTCCTGCCTCAAAACTGATAATCCTGGGGTGGAACTTGGACAAACTATTGTTTGAACACACACAAAGTTATTTCCCTACTCTCTGTAGCAGAGTGAGCCGGGCGCCAAAGTATTATCTCTCTGGCACAGAGATGAGATTGGCTACGCAACGGTGGTGTCGGAGACTGGTGCAACAGTTGAAGTTTGGAATGAGCTATTAGCATATCATTATTATCACTAAGCACATACCAAAGTCAATTTGTAACAGGCTGTCGAACAGCCACGCTGCATGCACGTTTTCCTGGGACACAATTTCATCAATAATGGGAATAATATGAGCATGCTATCCACCAGACTTTACTGGATGGATGAATTGCCAAGTCTCAGCTTGTCTACATTATGATGGAATGAGATATCAGAAATTAAGTTTTCCATACAGCTTGGTTTTGTGTGTGGGTCCAACTGAATGCCTCTATGAATTTTACATGCGCGCGGGCGACATCTGGAAAGAGCAGCGTTCACGGATGAACGGGCAGCAGCAGATCTCACAGAATGGGAAGGGAAATAGCAAAGAGAGCGGAGGAGGCTTAAAAGTGGGGAAGTTCAGTGGAACTTGTTTTGTATGTAAAGTGACAGTGGCTGTACACTACATCTTCCCCACTGGGATAACAGCAAAAGGACATTCTCAGTGGAGAATCCTAGGGTTTGAGCAAACAGTACAGAACCAGTGGAGTGGAGCTTCCATATATCCACAGACTTGTGACGGCACACCATTTATCTCCATGTTGTTGAGCCGGGCAGCCTTCTGTTCCGCCGTGCTTTATTTACCCCAGAATTGGAGGGCCACATGTGGGAGTGGACGCACGCAGCAGGGAGGCCGTCCTGCTGCTGACAACGCTTCAGCACGATGGATGAGGCGTGCAGCTGAAGGCACATCGCCGCAGGAACAAGTGCCAGTACAGACTGCAAATACTCTAATCACTTTTACACTCTCCTATGAAGCACTTAGAGAAGCCATGTTTTATCTGAAAGTCTGTGATCATCTGAAGCAGAAAGAACACTTTCAACATGCAGGAAAACTGAACAACTGCATTTAAGAACACATATTCTTCTTTTGACCATATTACAATATTGTCAAAACCAGACCTGGAGATTTTTTTGCTACATTTTCTGCATTCGTTTACCAGTTCTAAGAATCTTGTCCATTACAACACTTACAACACTTACAACCCACAACATCTGAACACTACTTGCATTGGGGGTTGTTCCCACTCATGGTGTAGTGTAGATGGTGCATCTGAACACATTCGCCACAAGTAAAGGATCTCTGGATTATGTTTGAGAACCAAAAGCAAGTATGACATAAAATAAAACAGTTCTCAAAGCTCAAGACGAAATACATAGATTTTAGTGAGCTGCATACATGAAATCACTGCATCTAAACATAAACTTGAAAACCTGAAACATTTGGCCTCTGGCTTTGCCAATAAAGGGTACATAACAAAGTATTGAGAAGGACTTTTGTTATTGACTAAATACTTATTTTCCACCATCATTTGTAAATAAATCCTTTAAAAATCAATGTGATTGTATTTCTTTTTTGTCACTGTAATGGTTTTTACAGTGCCCCCGCATCAGCCTTACCCACAGAAGTCTTTATTTAATTTAGTTTTATTCAGGGCTTTGAATAAAATTTATCTCAATGAAAACTAGTCATTTGTTATTATCCAAGGTTGTATGGGAGTGACTCATGACATTTAATGGTATAATCAGCCGTGATTATCATAATGAAATAAAACTTTTGGGTGGAGAGAAATAAAACCCAATAAAGCAGGTGCGCCTCGTGTGTGGAGCACGTCCTTTTATTATGATGCACAATTCTAGATTTCTGGAATTTTCTTGTCTTTTGTGACAAATGTAATACTTCTTTTGTTACCCTACACACAACCCGGTTCTCACTCTGACTATCGACTGCCACCACTTGGGTGTCTCTCTGCTCCCACCAGAGGGGAGAGAGCGGAATAAATAATGAACTTTTGATGAGGATAGAAAAGGAACTAATTTGGCATATAATCTGGTTTGACGTCAACAAGTTATCACTCAATGTTAAAGCCAAATGTAGATGCCAAAAAGATATAAAAATATATCAAACTTAAAATGAGATTGAAAGAGTATTTCATGCTACATTTCCTGTAGTGATTATTGACTCCAGATTTATGTGGAAAGAACATTTAGACCATATACATGTAAGACAAAAATACCAATAACTCGTGGAATTGTGTTTGAAACTAAAGATTTACTCACCTATGATGCACTATATATTATGTTCTGTACCTGGGTTCTTCCTTACATGACTTATTGTGTGGAGCTAATTTTAAATGGCACGTCTGGACAAATGTGCCATTTGTCGAGACGTTAACTACAAAATACTTCAAATAATGTTTAGGGCTAAATCAAATGTGCTTCCAAAAGGTCTTCAAAATATTTTCAACTTTTGCAGACCTCTGACATAAAGTTGACAGTGAATTTATTTTGCCAAAAGCTAGAAAATCACTGACTCAAAGATGTCTGTCGTTTCATGGGGCTCAGATGTGGAACAATCTCAGCAGAAAGGAAAATATGCAATTTATTTTTTGTATTTTAGGAAAAATTTGTCAAAGTCTATCTTGGACGGAGACCGAACTGAATGATTTTGTTGAACTTGTGATACTTATGTGTTATACTAAGTGTTTATACTTTGAAATATGTTATGGTAACTTGTATTGTATGTGTATATTTAATGGGCCCACACATGTTTTGCTTCTGCCCTAATGATAATAAATAAACTGAAACTTATATAGCACCTTTCACAGACCAGTCACAAAGCGCTTTATGCTGTAATTGTCATGGGCCTTTGTCCCCTCACTCCACACATGAGAGAGGGGTCGCTATACAAGAGGTGCATGCCAGATCAACTGTACTAAAAACATGCGACCTCACGGAAAGACCTGTAGGTAGAATAAAACTCAGGACCATCTTGCTGTGAAACAAGCTCTACCCACTGCGCCACTGTGCCGCCCAATGAATTGTGAATGTGCAGACAACCCCTGTGCTTCAGGAGATCACCGCTATCTCCCCTCTCCACTGCGAGGGGGATATGCTCTGTGAAGGCTCCAGTAGAAGTTTCCTCGTCTCCACATTTGGATGACACCGTCAAAATTGCCTTAATGGTGACTTTATGTTTGCAGCAAGGGACATAAAATGGCCTAAGTTTGGACATGTCATGTCATTCTCACTTCCTCCTCCGTCGAGCAAAGACGTGTCTTAGTCCGCTCCTGCTTCTGAACGGCTTGCTATCTCCTGTTTTTGTCTTTTTTCCTGGAGTTTTGCCACAGACAACTTTAACAGAATGGAAATGATTAATTGGTCCCTCAACGCAATTGATTCTATCTTTTCAACACGTAAGCGTGGGTCTGGAGAGCCCGTGTGCCCGGACGGGACTTCACCGGCGGGGTATACTCTTGACAGCTGGAACAAGTTTCAGCCCCTCTGTCTGTCGACCCTGTCCATTGAAGATTCGGAAGACGTATATATCTTTGGCATTTTGGTGGTGGGAATCCTCCTGTTTGGGTTTGGAGCGATCCTGTTCTACCACAAATTCGGTGGCATGGCAGTTCGCAAGATTCACGACCTGCTGGCCGACAAAATTGATGGGATGTACAAGGAGCTAAGCCGTGTCGTGGTTGAGAGTGCCGTGTCTGGACAACGGAGAGTGGTGTTGGTGGAACAGTTGATCAAAGATCTCGCAGCTCGTTCACTCGATGGGCATAAAACTCTGGAATTGAGATTGAATGACATTGTTTGTCAGGCTTGAACTCTGACCCGGCTTGGATTTGCCCCTGTGTACGGAGGTCTGAGGGCGCCGTAATTCGGTTTAATTGGAATTAATAGAATATCTGCCTGCTTTTGATGCTACATTGCATATAATATTATCCCTCTCAGGCGATTTGTGTTTCTCCTGCTGTGTCTTCTCCCCACTCTTATCTCACATTCCTTGACCAAGGCCATAAACAAGGTCCCACAATCTACAACAACTCACACTATTTCAGTCTCCAGCAAGGATCCCTCACCCCCGCCTCCCTCTACCTATCCATCGCTCCCTCCCTCCCCTCCATTCCTTATTGTTTTCCTACTCACCCCCTCCCTGACCCCGCCCCCCTCTGACAGCTACATTGGGCCGGCCGCCGGAGGTGCTCATCCCGAGAAAAAAATCCGTGGTTTATAAAAAGCACAATGTGTCTATCCAATTGTATGTGAACTGTATGTTATTGCTCTCTGCTGTTTCTTGCTGCACACAGCGCCGCAAATGGCGAAGTGGCACGCTCTCTGCCAAGACAATTTCCAAGTGATAACTTTGTTACTCACGTGGCAATAAAAATGATTCTGATTCTGATTCTGATGATTCTGATTTTCTTCCCTTTTATTAATCCATTTCTGGGTCGGGGGGGGTAGCAATCAGAGATGCCACCCAAGTCACATAGTACCAGTCCCTCCCTGATCCTCCTGCAGGTGGTGGTTCCACAGCAAGATGGCCTTGGTCTTTCAGCGGGGGCTTCAGGCAATGTGGGGTTAAGTGTCTCGCCCAGGGACACATCGACAGCAGAAATCAGTGGGAGCAGGTGACATGGGTCATGGTGGGCTTGAACCCACGACCATTAGGTCTAAAGACCAGTGCTCTACCAACTGAGCCACTGTCGACCAGACCAGGCATGTTCGGATATAATGCTCCCATCTATTTATTTGAATATTCACTTCAATTCTACCCAACAAGGTCGTTTTTATGTGCAGATAAAAATACAATCAATCCAATTATACCAAAACTTGCAGTTCTGAAAGTCGTTCATCTAAATATTGCAAATGTGTATGTAGCGTTGATGGTACATAAACCCCCTCCGGAGTGCGTTCCCTGCAGTGCTCTGATGTTTCTGCTGTCGTTGGGGAATCTGCAGCCTGCTTCAGCCGCCTGCCAGCTGTCACAGTGGGAGTTTGACGCCCGTCTCCCCTCAAGGTCTCCACATATTTATTATTTATTCCTCTGTGCTACCTCTTCAGACTGGTGCCACTTTGGATCCATCGAGGCAGAGGAGGCGTCTTTCAGGGAGCAATAGAAGGGCGTGTCGGCTTGAATAATGAGGGGAGCGTTTAATCTGGAGTATCATCGCGGCCACAATCAGCCCGTTTATCTCACGTACACTGGGGCGGCGGCAGGAGGCAGATGGCTGTGCGATTCCCAAGCAATATGCTGGATCAAAGAATGCAGACGGCTACAAAAGCACAGGGGTATGGTCTGACATTGTATTGTGTCGCTATCAAATACATCATAACAAATCTGAAAACTGTATTCTCTGTTTTTTAAAGCACCTTGAATTGCCTTCTATAAGTAATATTGTAAGGCAAGTTAATTTGTATAACAGTTCATACACAAGGCCATTCAAAACATAATAGAAACCATAAATGATCACGGTACATTATGAAGAGAGAAGAGAAAATCCCTTAGTTGTATGCACAGCTAAACAGAACTATTTTAAATCCTTTGGTACCTTATGAGTCCCTATATCTACTTTAAGCTTTCTTGGAACTGACATCTCTCTCATTGGGGCACCTCACTTGGTTATAGGTACTTTTACCATCAAACTGCATCTCAACCATTTGGTGAAGGCCTATGATTTAGAAAAAATAGAGGTTAGTAAAAAATAAAATGCATAAAAAACAAATTATTTCTGTTATCAGTGTTCCTTAGCACTCTTAGAAAAAAAAATTACGAAAAAGAAAAAAATGACCGCTTTTTTTAAGGGGTGAATGGTAAAGGGATAACACGGATTTGAACAATGTCAGAGAAGAAGCCTGTCTCACATTTCCAGATTTTAGCAGCATAAATCTGCTGCCTCCCCGTGTTTAGTTCTGACTCTGGGCACCAGCAGGAGGCCGGTGGCTGCATTTTTACTATGTGTACAAAGTATGAGTTTTGATGTGGCTTCTTCTTCTTATGCAGTGAATAGAACAAAAGATAAAGTCTGTTATATTTTAGAAACCGAACGAGGGAAATAGTGAATAATAGTAGAATAATAATAATCGGCTCACCAAACACATTTCACAGACAAGTAGTCACAACAAAGCTAACAACAACAAACATGCACAATATTTAACTCATGAATGATGCAGACTGGATTTTTAATGATGTTAAACTCAAGCATAAATGTGTAGATTCTGTCCCGCGCTCACAGAATCCGACATGTTGGGATTTAGGCCTATAAAAAAAATACATTAAATTGAATTGAAAATTGAACCATAGAGTCCAACAAGGTTCATTAGGTCTTCTATTTCCTAATTCATCAAGTTTATAATTTTTTTTCTAAGACCAGAGTGATTTTTTGTACCTGAAAAGATTGGTCAAGAGTCTGCAGTCCCAGGTGTGTGTGAGCAAAAGAGCCCCATTGTCCCAGTTTATAGTCCATGGGGGCACGTTTGCATATTTCTATTTTCTATTTGATCCAGCGTCAGACAGAACTAACCGAGCCATGGTCACATTACCACGGGTCTTGGGCAGAGTGTGCCCAATTAAATGCTCAAATGTAATGCTGAATTGTACAAAATAGAGTTCACCTTCCAGATTTTAGTGTAGCTCTTTAGTTGAGATATTCAGCTGCTGCTTCAACTCACAATGACACAATTCTCTAACTCAGCCATTCATCCATCCATGTTCTTCAGCTTTATTTTTTTGGAACTGCAGTGTAACCAGAGTTGTCTCTTCAAGTCACGCTGCAGAGGAAGTTGATGTCCTCGTCCTTCTTCAATCTTGTCCTTTTGGTCATTACCCAAAGTTCCTGACCAAAGGTGAGGGTGGGAAAAGACCATTGACCAATAGATACCCCGACATTACAAACTGTGCTTCAATGTATGCTTTGCTCTTGACCTACAATATGTGAAAGCAGCCAGAACGTGTGCAATTATACCACTATGTCAAGCTCCACCCAGTGGGGGCGGGTCCCGGCTCAAAAGTGGCCAAAATGATGTCCACCCCAGGCCGATGGGGGTGGACCCGGAATAAGAATTAGCCAATGCTAACATATAGCATCTTCTTACCTCTCGAAAAGGTCTTAACAGAATGGTCCAAAAGTTGGCTCTTGGCCCAAAGCTCCGTTCCACATGTGTGTCAATGCTGAGGGGGGTGAATTTTTTTGGTCCACTCTAGTTTACTTGCTGTGAATTTTTGAAGTCTCTCGTTTAAATGGATGGAGCTGCGCCGGCTGACGCATGCGCAGATGCGTTTTTTCACAATTTTCTTGTGGGCGGGCCATTTTGGATAGCTCCAGTAGAGCACTATTTTTGGCCCATTAGTTAGAACGGCGGAGATAGGCGTGACTACGTCCGTTAATTTTTACAGTCTATGGCTCCACCACATCTAGTTTTTGCAGCCCTTTGAGTTGATTTGTGTATAGACATACAGGTTTGGGTTCAGATTTGGTGGGAACACTAATAACATTTCTTCAAAACCTTCAACCCCTGATTGGGAATCAAACCCGGGGTGTTAAAGTGAGGAGCACCTAATCCTAACCACTAGACCACCAGTGAGAACTAAAACGAGCAACAAGACTAAGTATTCTCCTACAAAAGATCTCTGTTTCTTTAATGAAGCTGGTTCGGTTCTGTCTCTGCGTGTGCAGCTTGCTTCAGTGGCTGACAGATTAGAACATACGTAAATGTGTTGAATGGCTGATAGATCCACAATACTTCTCATTGATTTCTCAAATTTTACAACACTCAGGGAAAACAAATACCGCTTTTCTTGATACTGGCTACACTGATCGCTTTTCAGAAATCGATGCCAGTCGGACTTTACTTTCACACAATAAACAGTAGCAAGTGCACGTACAAGCACGTACAAGCACGTACAAGCGAGGACCACTGCTGCTGCTCAGGAGGAGGCGAGGATGAGGATGAATAAACTGGAGACAGTGAATTTAAACAAGGACATCATCTTATATTTGGTGAGGACATTTTGGTTTTCACAAAATATTGGTGAGGATATGTCCCCACGGTCCCCAAGCAAACCAACGGCCTTGAGACAAATATATCTTCACTTTAGAATTTGATAATTTGGTTAGAACAATATTCCTCAGTTTAGTCACTTTTAGCCCAGAGCCTCAGGTGGCTAACATGTACAGTAAACATGTACAGAAGTATCATAAATGTGATTAGTTGTACCCACAAAGCTAATGACTTATTACTTAACTATTCTAGCACCAGTGTATTACAAATGTATGTGTAGATGTATACTTTAGTTCTTAAACCAAGTAGCGAGACTGCACTACAGTATAAAGATTGATACTATATGTTTATATTTGTGTATACTTTTAATAAGCTAAAGTTATAGATTTGTTTTTTAAGGGATCTCTTAAAATTAATCCTAAAGACGTGTGTTATAAAAATCTAAATGGGTTAACACTAATACTGACTTCATCTCAAGGGACTATTCATAAATAAATTGAATTGAAATGGCATTGAACTGCTTTCATTCAACCATTTACAAGGTATTAACGTTTACTCACTTTTGATGTTACTAAAATGTTAACTGCTGACAGTAAACAGTGTGTTACTATGGTAACTAGGACCGGCTTTTTCTAGGAAATAACGGTAGAACTTCCAATAGAAGATCATTTAGATTTTAAAAATGACATAGAAATAAACTACGCATAGAAACAGAACAGGTCACAAAGTTAACACGACTAAAAATGTACATGAGCTGAGCAGACACTGACAAAACTAAAAGTCATCAAATTGACTGCTCTCTGTGCTCAAATGTTAACCAACACAGGTGTCAGTGAGAGTTCTCACGTCATGTTACTGTAAGCACACAGCTGAAGTCATCAGGAACCTCTGTCTCTTGTAAAAATCCCTGAATAAAATTGCAGATGAGAAGCTCAGACACAAAGGATTACCGTTTGCTGTGACACAAATTATTTTCTTTTTATCCCTGTTCATACAAAAGCAGACTTCTACAGTGCGTGTGTGTTACCTGGACAGCCACAACCGACAGCACTTCCACTGAGATGCGGTTGAACTCGTCGAAGCAGCCCCACGCTCCGCTCTGTGCCAGGCCTTTGTAGATGTTCCCACACGACTGACAGGAAAGAAAACACTGTGTCAAATACAGTCATATCCCTCGACCCCTTCGATGTTTCCAAGGAACGTTAACATTATAAAATACAATAGTTTAATCTCCTTGGAAAAACTATTACTATGGGATCATTAATCAATTACAGAATAAGAGAGTGTATGTACTACAGTGCATAGATTTATAAAGCAAATACAGTACAGTGGTTACAATTCAACTGAATGTTTAGCATATATAATGTTGGCCGTCAGAACCTGTTAGAGGGACAATATGTAAAAAAAAGAAAGGTGCACTTTATTTATCCCCGTGGGGCATGCCATCACTGACAACGGGTCGCTGTAATTCCCTATTCCATAATATTAATAGTGCATATATTTGTGTATTTATCAAACTGGTACCCTGCATGTTAATGAATGGTCAAAGATGACCAGACACATACATATAACCTCACCAGAGCGGCTGGGGTCACAAATAGCACAGTAAAAATCTGTAAACAATTGTCACGAAACTGTAAAATGTTGAAATGACAGACTGTCGTCTTTTGACTCAAATCAACAAATTGGTGCCACATTCTTACCAAAAGCAGGTAGATCACTATCCCACTCAATAAATTATCTGCTTCTGGTCTTTCTAAGCAATTACTGGCATCAAAGTCGCACTTCTGACATTACTAATTGTTGCTTAAGGTGTGCCGCAGGGTTTGTCCCTTATTTTGCCAAAATCTGTACACATTATCAAATTTAGTTATACTAGCACAATGCCTGTAGGAAGATAATCTGTTTCATCATAATTTGAATTTGAAATATACTTTTACTTTTAATACATAGACTTTCATCTTTTTTATTGTACAGTGGACCCCTTGCAAATTAGAAGTTTTATCTCAAGCGGCTTTTGTATCAGCTAATTATTTGGTGACCAAACAGATATTTGGTGGTTTATCTCAGCCCGGTATTTGTTTTATAATATCCAGAATTGGGAATGAGTCAAACATGATGAAGAATCCGTCCGTTTTAAGCCCTTGTGCGAGTTGTATGGAGTCCATTGCTGGGTTTTCTGCAGTCTCTGTGCTACTGACATATTGCCAATTAGTGGGAAGACGTATGAGAAAGTGAGTGATCCCAGAGCAACCGTAACTCCACACTGCAGCCAGTATTAATGATGTATAAAGAACATCCGCTGCTGACGGTCAGGCATCCTGGTCAGGTCCAGAGACTATAGAGCAGGTGAATGCGCGCTGGGATCCTGGGTTAAACTGATTTGGATGTTAAGGCTAAAGTTTTTGTGCAGATGATGCATGGTAGAATGAAGCTTTCTCAGTTTGACTGAACATGTAATATTTGAGGGGCTGGGTGCTGTTTTATTATAATAATAAATCGTTTTTACATGGCGCTTTCCTGGACACTCAAAGAAAGACACTTCACATGTCATTGTTCTTTCATTCCATACACTGTGGTGATAAACTACTATTGTAGCCACAGCTGCCCTGGGGTACACTGACAGAAGTGAGGAAACCATAATGTTTCATTGTCCCCTCCGACCACTAGCAACCACACACACACACACACACACACACCAGACTCGTTGGATTTGTATTGACACTTGATTTGTTTGATGCGACTGAACCAGGGTTCAATACTATTCTCCAAGTTTAATTGTTTAAAAATGTCAAATTATTTCACCTTTTAAATCAGGAAATGCTACATAAATTTTATCATAAACTAGCCCCAAAGAACACACATCTTGCGTGATATAAGTCCTTTAGGTAATTAAAGATACTATTTAATGCACTGTAGGTCAAAATAATAGTGAGTGGCTGTGTGAGAGTCTTCACCTTGTAGTCCATCTGCTCGGAGCAGTTGAACACATAGACCATGATTCCCAGCGCCCGGCCCAGGTCTTTGGTGGTCTCTGTTTTCCCGGTACCAGCTGGACCTGCCGGAGCCCCACTCATTGTGAGGTGCAGAGATTGGGTCAGGGTGATGTAACACCTGTGACACATATACAATACCTCCATGAGAATCAGGGCTCAAATAAGTTGGCAAAAAAGGAATAGAAAGGCCACTGAGGAGAGTGGTCCATTGAGGAGAGTGGTCCACTGAGGAGAGGGGTCCACTGAGGAGAGTGGTCCACTGAGGAGAGTGGTCCACTGAGGAGAGTGGTCCTCTGAGGAGAGTGATCCACTGACGAGAGGGGTCCACTGACGAGAGGGTTCCAATGACGAGAGGGTTCCACTAACGAGAGGGGTCCACTGACGAGAGGGGTCCATTCTGCAATGGAGCGATCAGGATGGACTGGAGGACGTTCACATCCAACGATGCCACCAGAGAACCCAGACAACAGCCGCCCTGATCATGGACTGTTCACCTTGCTGCCATCTGGGAGGCGCTATTGTCTTCTCAAAGCCAAGACTGAGAGGACGAGAAGGAGCTTTTTCCCAAAGACTGCTAAAGTAAGCCTTACTTAGTGTTTCTATTTTTATTGTGTTTTGAACTATATAACTATGAAACATCTGTTGAAGTGTACATAAGAATTTCACAGCATATAATATGTATGTGACGAAAACAAAGTTGAGACCAGTGTTATCTGCAACACACACAAACAAGTTTGAGCACACACCACTCTTGGAGAGCGCAACACACACAGTTCTAAGTGTGGGTGGAATGAATGCAGAGTGACTTTAATATAGGGCTTTGAGAGATTTCAACACGCCTGTAAAGTGCAAGGCTTGACATTAACGGTTGTCTGCTTGCCTGGAGCAACTAAAGATTTGGGACGGGCAAGTGCGCTGTTTTAGCAAGTTGCCTGGTCGGGCAAGTGATGTATTACTTTAACCCTATATCTATCTTGTTCAGCACTTTGAGTTGCCTTGTGTATGAATTGTGCTATACAAATAAACATGCCTTGCCTTGCCTAACCCATTCAGGCCGGGAACACATTCCACCATTTCTTCCTCTGGAGCCTGGAGCGGACGCGTCTGATTATCTTTTTTTTGACCAATTCTCTTCAACATTTTCCACGGATCCGCAATTCCCGACAGTTTTCTGCTGACAATGTCATTTCTGTGAAATATGTGACCACGGGAACTTTCTGTTGTTTGCTGCACAAACTCGAACATAGACATAGATACTGTACGCGGACCATAGTCACACGGACAGGACCATAGACAAGCGTACAGGACCTTAGACACGCGTACAGGACCATAGACGCGCGGACCATAGACACATGGACAGGACCATAGACACGCGGACAGAACCAACACGCGGACCAAAGACACGCGGACAGAACCATGGACGCATGGACCATAGACACGAGGACAAACCATAGACACTGATATTGGAATGTAATTTAAGTTATCATTTTGGTAAATCATTTGTGGCTGAATTCTATACTGTCTGTATTGTAATCCACTGTTGACTTCAGAGTGCTTGGGGGCTGTATGCAGATGCCAGGAGGAAGCAGGTTTTGAGGATGCTAATGTCTTAAGTGTCTTTTGTTGTGTTGGTTTCTTCCTTTCCCATCTGCATACGAAGGTGTGTCTTGCTCTACCAAAAGGGGCTTGCCATCTGTGAATCTTCAGACTTGTCCTGAGAGAGGCTGGGGTCTGTGCCTTGCCTCTGTCAAGACATTCTCCTTGTACAATGTAACAAGTAAAAGATTAACTTTGTCTCTTTGTTGTGTGAGATTTCATCAGGTTCAACTGTAGTTGAAACAGCATTATCACTTGGTCCTTCGAATCCGGATCCCAACACTTCTTACAGGAGCTGAGCTTGTCTCAAACATGGACTTCCAGGAGCAACAACAGGGCCTTCTGCATTCGGAACTGCATTGGAACTCCAGGTTTGAGGCAGGACAGCCCTGGGTTGGAGTCGACGGGAGAACTACAGTTTTTTCCTGATGAAATTGCAACAAAAGGCAAGTTTCTAAACACCAAATTATGTCCAAAAGTAATCCAGGAAGTAGTGTGAAGTTCACATGAACACATTCATTTAGGATAACGCAGAGTTATGCCTTTAGTCAAGGACTTTTACAGAGCTTGAATGAACGGGGTTTCATTCAAAAGAGTATTTTACTTTTTGAGTCGGGGATTCAAATAAAAAAAGGCCTGGGATAACGGGGATTATCCTTTTTAAATAGTCGGGGACTATATTGCAGACAGTCGAGGCCGATAGTCGGGGACTATCATAGACTGTATAATAACGGGGTTATTATTAAGAGTAAGTCGGGGACTACTTTTTACTGCAGTTAAAAGTGAACGGGGTTCATTTTGAATTAAAGAACGCAGAGTTACGCCTGTATAATGAATGTGTTAGAATTGAATTACTTCAGACTGAACTTCTACATTACTTCTAAACTGAAATTGGACATTTATAGACATCTAAATAAGCTAAATTTAAATTGGACGTTTAAAGACCTTTAAATTACTCAAAAGTTGGAATTGGACATTGCAAAAAGTAGATAGACCGCCATTTTGGGTGGCCATGTGGTCCTTTGTCCTCTGGCCATGTGTTTCTTTGTTTGTCTGTGTCCTTTGTTCTGTGTGTCCTCTTCGTTTTCCTTTGTCAAAGTTTTCTTGGTTTAGAATCACCCTTCACCTTATGTTTTGAATCTGAAATGTGTTAACAAATGTGCTTCTTGTTTTTGAGAAAAATGCCACATCCCTGCCAAAGCTTCAAAGCAACAAAATCCAGCTATTTTCCATTGTGGGACAGAAAACCCACCCCATCGCCATCTCCATGCAGCCATCGACACCTACGAAACGACCCTCCACACAAACCCCCCCCCCCCGCACCGGAAGTTGCTGACGAATAATCACGGGCCGATTTGCAAGGATCAAAGCGCGCAGGCCCACGGAGGGCTCTGGCCGTTTGTTCAAGTTAAATGGACGTGAGAATTGAAGGTGACATCTTGGTACATTTGCGACTTGAAAGTTCAGCTTTGTGTCGCTGTTGGAGAACGGCTTGCTGCTAGTCTTGCGTCGGAAACGCAGACAGAGAAGAGTTTCGAAACAGGAACAGAGTGGACATTTCTGGTCATAACCAAACATGAGGAGGGGTCGAGAGGAAGTGTCAAATGGACTGTCTATGGACTGTGAAAATGGACTTTGAGTTTTTGGGCTTTTGGGCGTGTGCGTGTTGTTGAATTTGATAACCAAAGTTAATACATTTCAAGTTAATACATTGTTCAATTTTGAGCCATGTATGTCTCAATAGGGGGAATTGTTTATGGAACAACAATGTGAAATTATACTATGAACATTTTTTTCTTTTTCAGTTTGGATGTGTGTTTTTTCATTTTCAGTTCTCCATGTTCTCCATGTTTAAACATAGTTCTCTTTCAACATTTCGTGAGGTATCTCACATATGGGAACGCTCTCTGGCTGTTTCCCCAGAAGCCCTATTTCACCATGCCAGTCTCCTGATTGGCAGTCAGACGTGACGTCACCTCCAAAGGGAGGCGGGGCTACCGCCTTCTATATAGAGCGTGACAGCACGACTAGACATCAGTCTAACACCTCTTCTCGCTCCCAGAAGCTTACTCTCAGTCTAGTGGTTAACGGGCTAGCTAAAACTGTTCATAGAAGGGGCTAATCACTCCGACGCCGAACGCTACCCATTACCGCTTGTTGTCTGAGAAGCTCGTAGCACGTCTGTCACCAAACAGGTACTACGGGCTTGCTAGCTGAAAAGCTAGTAGCACGTCTGTCTCCAAACAGGTGCTACCGCGATAAGTAGCAATACTTACACTCACTAGCTGTAAAGCTAACAGCACGTCTGTCCTCAAACAGGTGCTGCTGGGGCCAGTAGCAATACTAGCCTGGCGAGACGCTGTAGCACACCTTCCTCCCCACCATGGAGAACGCTATGCTACAGCCAAGGCTGTGCACATGTGGGAACAAAATCTCCGGAGCAGATTCCCACTCTGTCTGTGCTGCATGTCTCGGACTGCAACACGCCCGAGATGCCGTAGCCGACACAGTGACCTGTGACCACTGTGCACGCCTATCGGAGAAAACCCGCCGCAGGAGGCTCGCACGCCAAGCGAGTCTAGCGGGGGAAAATCCTGTGATGGGGGTAACCATTCCCGTGCCACAGAAAGAGTCGGAGGAGAGGCCGCGTGGAGTCACCTCCACGGAGCTCAGCTGGTCTATGCAAATGGACGCTGAGCACCCTCTCTCAGACCCGGACGAGTTGGACCTGGGCCTCGGGGCCTCCGGAGACAACCTCGTCGAGTTTCCCGACTCTGGGGATGAGCCCATAAGTCTCCCGTCCGAGGAGGACGAGGACTTGATTATGGAGCAATTTACCCTGACTCAAGCCACAAGGCCGGGAAGCGCGACAGCCAGCAGTGGATCACCGACTCCACCTGCTGCACAGAGCCTGCATGAGGTTTGCCGCAGAGCAGCTGCAAAGCTGGGCATCGAGTGGCCGGAGGCCCCCGCCGAGGCCGCAAAGTCTCGATACAAGGGCCGAAGGCTTCCGAAAATTAAAACCTCGGAGAAACAGCTCTTTCCCCCCGTCGAACCCCTGGTGGCCTCTCACCTCCATCCCTCACAGCGGTCCGCAATGACCGCTGGTGGCACGGCGCTCCCCTCGAAAGCGGATTGCCTCCAGACAACGCTTAACGAGAGGAGCTACAAAGCCGTTGCCACGTCAGTGAGAGCCCTGAATGCGTCCTCCCTGCTTCTAGCTTATCAGGCTGAAATACAGGATGACATAACGGCCTCACCAAGCGCTGAGATGTGGGAAGAGCTATGCGTGGTCACTGACCTCTGCCTACGCCTCCACAAATGCGCTGTACAAGCATGTGGCCGTGCCATGGGAGTAATGGTTACGCAGGAGAAGGCCCGCTGGCTCAGCCTCTCCAGCCTCTCTCATCGGGACAAAACTGAAATCCTGGATGTTCCTGTGGACCCCAAAGGATTGTTCGGTTCTGCTGTTGCCACTATGCAAAAGAGGTGCGAGGAGAAGAAGCGTGAGGGTGAGGCGCTGCAACTTTGTCTCCCCAGAAAAGTGCCCGTCTCAAAAGTCCCCTCTCAGTTTCCTCCGCGGCCGGTACCAAACGGACAGGCCGCGTACCGCAACTCCAAACGCCCGACGCAGCCCCAGCCTCAGAGCAGCGCGCCTCCTGAGCTCAAGGGTGCGTGGACCAGGAGACCTTTTGCCCCGAGAGCGAAGACTGGACCCCAACAGGGCCAGCCCGCCTCCCACGGGGCAAAGAAGAAGAAGCGGGACTCCTAGCGTACTTCCACTGCAGGAGAGGACCGGGTCAGACCAGACACCCACCCCCTCTCCGCGGTCCGGTGTCCAAGTGGTTCGAGTGGGAGCGGTGAAACGACGCGCAGAGACTGTTCTATCAGCGCTCGTCACTCACGACATAAAGAGGAGGACCGTGCCAAAGAGCTCAATGGAGCCACGGCAGCTGTCCGAAGACACACACCAGTGCCTTTCTCCTTCTTTCTCTCACAAATTTCAATAAAAGCGTGTTTTTGCAAAGAAATAAACGTTTGTCCTTTTGTTCACACATGTTGCAAGACATAAACGGGGTAGACAGAAAGAAATTGAGCAGCGCAGAGTCATTTCTGCGACACCCTCCAGACCCACTAGAGGGCGTCATCATACCACTTGTACCGCGGTGGCTCATGGGCCCACTAGCGCCTTGTGCGCCTCAGTGGCGAGAGTGTGGAGCGTCGAATTGGGTGATGAAAACTATCACAAGACGATACAGACTCCAATTCGCAACTATGCCCCCCCCGGTTCAGAGGCATATTGCCCTCAGAACCGCGAGGAAAAGAGGCTTTGATCCTACGGGAGGAAATAAACACTCTCTTAAACAAGAATGCTGTTCGAATTGTACCGCCAGATCAATCCCAGACAGGTTTCTATTCGAAGTACTTTCTTGTGCCCAAAAAGGGCGGAGGGTTACGTCCTATTCTGGATCTGCGCGCCCTGAACAAGTACATGAGAACTTACACGTTCAGGATGCTGACACACACCGCTCTGGTACAATTCGTACGACAGAACGATTGGTTTGTGTCCATAGATCTGAAAGACGCATACTTTCACATCCCTATCTACCCTCCTCACCGAAAGTATCTAAGATTTGCTTTCCAAGGGGTAGTCTACGAGTACACCGTACTCCCGTTCGGACTCTCTCTGAGCCCACGGGTGTTCGTGAAATGCACAGAGGCTGCAATTACGCCTCTACGGGCAAGGGGACTGCGCTTAGCCACGTACCTAGACGACTGGCTACTGGCTGCTCATTCCCCACACCAAATCCGGGTCGATACCAGGGTGATCTTATCACACCTATCCTCCCTAGGATTCACGGTAAACTGGGACAAGAGTGTCCTCGTCCCGTGTCAGAGCATAGACTTCATTGGTCTTCACCTAGACTCTGTCACTTCCAAAGCCCACCTATCAGCGGAGAGGATAAAAGCCTTCAGAGCTTGTCTGGCCTCCTTCCGCAGAGGCACTCTGCTGCGCTTCAGGACGTGCCTCAGGCTTCTGGGTCTGATGGCATCAGCCCTGGTCGCCATACGATTGGGCCGCCTGTACATGCGGCCCTTTCAAAAGTGGGTGGCAGCGCTGCGCCTAAATCCGCCTAAAGCCACGGCCACCGCTCCGTTTTGGTGTCAGCGGAATGTGTCCGAGCGCTGCACCCATGGAAGTGCGAGACATTCCTGACCGCTGGTGTGACTACAGGCACAATCACAGCGAGGAAATTTATTACAACGGATGCCTCTCTGCGAGGGTGGGGCGCCACTCTAGAGGGCAGAATTGTGAACGGGAAATGGAGCTCACAGATGCAGATGTGCCACATAAACTTCCTGGAACTCCAGGCTGTGTGGCTGGCATTGAGACATTTTCTTCCTCTTATCAGGGGACAACACGTGTTGGTTGCCACAGACAACACCACTGTGGTGGCGTATGTCAACAAGCAGGGGGGGCTAAGGTCACATCAGCTGCATGTGTTAGCACACAGACTGATTGTATGGACCAGCTCTCATCTCCTGTCACTGAGAGCCACGCACGTCCCTGGTGTCCTAAACAGAGGTGCGGACCTGCTCTCGCGGGGCAACCCTCGCTACAGGGATTGGAAGCTCCACAGCGGGGTTGTGGCACAGATTTGGGGAAAATACGGCAGAGCCGAGGTAGACCTGTTTGCATCTCAGGAAGACGCTCAGTGCCACCTGTATTTTTCCCTGAGAGATCAGTGCGCGCCACTCGGAGTGGACGCTATGTCACATGCGTGGCCACGCACACTCCTGTATGCGTTTCCCCCGTTGGAACTGATTGCTCCGATTCTCTCTCGTGTTCGAGAGGAGAAACACTCCTTAATTCTCGTGGCCCCATATTGGCCAGCGATGATGTGGATGACGGAGATATTTCAACTTCTGTGCGATCACCCGTGGACTCTGCCCCTGCGCAGAGATCTGGTGACTCAAGCGCACGGGGAGATATTCCATCCTTACCCAGAGCGCCTGGCTTTATGGGTTTGGCCCGTGAGAGGATGAACTTATCCTCTACTGGTCTCCCGGATAATGTCATTGTTACTATGCAGAGCGCTAGGGCAGCGTCTACTCGTAGTGCATATGATGGGAAATGGAGGGCTTTCGACGAGTGGTGCGTAAACTTAGGCCACATCGCGTTTCAAAGTCCCGTGCCGGTTGTCCTGACTTTCCTTCAGAGTTTGTTGGATAAAGGGCTTGCTTTCTCTACCATTAAAGTGTACCTGGCGGCTATTTCGGCCTGCCACGTTGGCTTTGGAGACAAGACTGCTGGTCAGCATCCTCTTATATGCCGGTTTATGAAAGGCGCACGGCGCCTGAGGCCGGTTTCGAGGAGCCTGGTTGCTCCGTGGGATCTGACGACAGTGCTAGACGCCCTGTCTCGACCACCATTTGAACCGTTGCATGAAGTAGAGTTGAAATTTCTCTCTTTTAAGACGGTTCTGCTGCTGGCGTTGGCATCAGCAAAGCGCGTGAGTGACATTCACGCGCTGTCTGTGAACGCGTCATGTATGCAGTTTATAAGGGGAGATTCTAAGGTTTTACTGAAACCTAACCCTTCCTTTATGCCAAAGGTCTTTAATCCGACTTTGTCATGCCTTCCGATTGAGCTGTCTGCTTTTTCCACTCCTTCGTCTTTATCGGAAGAGGATCAGCGGCTCCATGCACTTTGCCCTGTGCGTGCATTGCGCGCGTACGTGGACAGGACTGCTTCATTTCGGAAATCTGAGCAGCTGTTTGTATCTTGGGCTAAACCCCACAGGGGTAAGCCTCTTTCCAAACAGCGCCTGTCTCATTGGTTAGTGGAAGCTATTGTAGCATCCTACAATAGCAGCGGACGGCAGCCTCCTGGGAGACTGCGCGCTCATTCCACTCGTGGCATGGCTGCCTCATGGGCACTCTTCCAGGGTACCTCGGTGGAGGAAATTGTTGCGGCGGCCAGTTGGGCTACGCCTCACACCTTTGCCAGGTTTTATAGACTGGATGTCACGGGCCCCTCACTGTCTCAGAATGTCCTGAGCGTGAAGGTTCCACCTTGAGTGCCCCTGTAGGTTCACATTTTTTGGTCTTCGAGTAAGCCTGTCTGACAATACGGGAGTCTCTATATCCCATATGTGAGATACCTCACGAAATGTTGAAAGAGAACGTAAGGTTAAGAAATTAACCCCGGTTCTCTGATAACATGAGTGAGGTATCTCACCAGACCGCCCTTCTTGCCTGGAGCGAGAAGAGGTGTGCTTGCTTTGACTGATGTCTAGTCGTGCTGTCACGCTCTATATAGAAGGCGGTAGCCCCGCCTCCCTTTGGAGGTGACGTCACGTCTGACTGCCAATCAGGAGACTGGCATGGTGAAATAGGGCTTCTGGGGAAACAGCCAGAGAGCGTTCCCATATGTGAGATACCTCACTCATGTTATCAGAGAACCGGGGTTAATTTCTTAACCTTACGATTGTTTGATTTATCAAAAGGATAAAAAGGAGGGAATGATATTGGAATGTAATTTAAGTTATCATTTTGGTAAATCATTTGTGGCTGAATTCTATACTGTCTGTATTGTAATCCACTGTTGACTTCAGAGTGCTTGGGGGTTGTATGCAGATGCCAGGAGGAAGCAGGTTTTGAGGATGCTAATGTCTTAAGTGTCTTTTGTTGTGTTGGTTTCTTCCTTTCCCATCTGCATACGAAGGTGTGTCTTGCTCTACCAAAAGGGGCTTGCCATCTGTGAATCTTCAGACTTGTCCTGAGAGAGGCTGGGGTCTGTGCCTTGCCTCTGTCAAGACATTCTCCTTGTACAATGTAACAAGTAAAAGATTAACTTTGTCTCTTTGTTGTGTGAGATTTCATCAGGTTCAACTGTAGTTGAAACAGCATTATCAGACACGCAGACAGAACCATAGACAAGCAGACAGAACCATAGATCAGGATCCTCCACCGGGTTTATAAAGATATTAGTGGGGACTGTCTGGCAGCTCAACATCGACTGTGTGGTTGTCACCTGCGGGTGAATGCCAGATCCTGTTAAACCTCTGGGTCTGGTTAGTACTGTGATGGGAGACCTCTGGGAACACCAGGTCAGAGAGTGGTGCGGCTACGGCTGCAAATGGCCAAACTGTGGTCGTGTCCTTAGGTAAATCACTTCACCCACATAAGAATGAGTCTGGTGTGTGTGTGTATGTGTGAACGACTGGTGGTTGTCAGAGGGGCCAATACTGGTTGCCTAGCTTCTGTCAGTAGTAGTTAATCACCCCAGTGTACGGAGGGAATGTATAGTGACACAAAGTGTCACTCAAAAGTCTCATCACAGTACTAATAGGGCAGTGACGGGCAAACTCCGGCCAGTGGGTCAGATGTGGTCAATCTACGTTCCCTGCCTTACCTGTTGTTCATAATAATAATAATAATAAAAATAAAAATAATAATAATCCATCGGTTTTTTATAGCGCTTTTTAGGACACTCAAAGACGCTTCACATGTCATTATTCATTCACTCCATACACGGTGGTGAAAAACTACTACTGTAGCCACAGCTGCCCTGGGGCACACTGACAGATATGCCATCGGCCCCTCCGACCACCACCAACCATTCACACACACACACCAGACTCATTCGAGGCAATGGGGGTGAAGTGTCTTGCAACAGCAGTTTGGGACTTTACAGCGGCCCCCCTGTGGTATCTAGTGTTCCCAGAGGTTACATGTAAGTTTCCAAGGACACAACAACAGCAGACATCAGTGGGAGTCGTGAAGAAGGTCCCGTGGTGGGCTCGAACCCACTACCACTACCAACAGAGCTACTGGGTAAATGACCAAAAGGATGAGATGGACTGTGTGGCCTCGGCCTGGATCTATAGCACATGTGTTCATGGGAGTGAATCCCTCCCACATATCTCACTTTTTCATCACTGGGGTTACGAGTTGCTGATGCAGGAGGGTTTAAGGACAGTGGGGATGATCAGTGGGGATGATCCAGGATATTTAAGGACATTTAAGGCATTTATTAATTATGGACATTGGTCATCCGCCCTTTATGGACCAATGTGTTTGTTGTTATTGTGAAAACTGTGTGTGAACAGTTGTTTTGATTCTCTGATTTGTATTGGCGAGTTGTCATTAGGGCTATAAAAAATTTATGTAATTGCATGGTCCCAGATTAATATATTCTGTACTTTATTTTTTAGAAATACTATTCAATAAGTTCAAACATTATCCTTTGATTACTTAATTCATTACACTTTCTCCATTGCCCACCATCCACCCACCACCACCTCCCCTTCTGTATGTACCAGCCGATAAAACAGTCCCAATATTCTGCAAAATGACATGGTTTAAGAAATGCAGCGGCGAGTATAGAGCGGGTGGTAACATAGTGCCAATAATGTTCTTGCAGCCATAGATTAGCATACGGAATTTGTTTAGCCTAATTACAGCTGCGCATGCATGCTGTAAATGCTCGGTGTTGCTAAATACAGCAACATTCAGTATGAAACAACACAGTGTAAAGACAGTTTGTTATTATTTGATGTCAAGCCTCCAAACACAATTTCCCTATGACTTTGAAGGTATATATGAGGATTTTCTTGAATTTTAGGAAAGAACCGTACTCCTCTGAAGGGTCGTCTATTAAAACGTGTCTCACATATCACCAGAAAGATTGACAATTAGGAGGACCAATAGTCTAGATCAGCGGTCCTCAAACTCCTCAAACATAACTTTTCCCTTCTTCGATGGGGACCGGGTCAGTTTGTGACAGAAAAAGTGTGATGATTGCGGCATTGAAAAAGTTACTAACTAATAGTTAATAATGAAAAAAGTTCATAACTAAGGAAATGTTTATTGCAAAAGTCCAACTTTATTATCAAATACACATATGAGTGTGTTCACAGTAAAGTGTCAATTAAAGTATCTGAACTTTAAAAGGTTATAACTCAAAAACTAAAATTACTATCATTGAATAGAAAAAAAGATTTCAAACACAGACATATTGAAGAGATAGTGTGGATACAATCAAAAGGAAAGATTGACAAATATATTTTTGGCGACATTTTAAACGACAAAATCAGCCTCTAATTAGACAATTCTACTGTGACGCCAGTTACATAGAAAATAAAATGTCCTCAGTCTGAAAAAGCGGCAGATGAAATCCCACAAGATTAACATGGTTAACACAACATGAGTTAACCACTTGATATAAAAAGGAATCGTTAAAAAAAAAAAAATGACCCTTGAAAAATGTGTAACGGACGTGATGGTTTCCGTCCATTTTTCTCTATGAATTAAACTTGAGGAAAAAAAATCTGGTCTGGTTTCACATTTAATTGGTCGACTATATGAAATTATCACTTTGTTTCAACTCTATGTAAAAAAATAGAATCTCTTAATCAAATGTGGATCTAAAAATACGTAACAAACTTCCGCAAAGCTCATTCCGTCAAATCATCACGTCCGTGACACAAATAAACAGGGCCGCTATAGGAAACTTGTCTAATGTGTAAAACAGTTATGTTCTAGCAACACTTCTAATGGACAGAGGAGGTGTTTGGATACATAAAAAACATGCAATATCTTCGGATTATTAAAATCAAATTTTTGGCCTTTTGTCACCGTTTTTTGCCATTTAGTTTGAGCAAGCCCATATGAAAATACTCTCTGGTATTGTCCAGGGGGCCGGAGCAAATGTAGAGGCGGGCCGTAGTTTGGGAACCACTGGTCTAGATGATCCACCCGGAAGAAGAAAATCCTCCCATAAGCCTTTAAGATTCAGAATAGTTATTTTTTTATTATACTAGTCTATAAAAGTGGATCTAGTTTTTATACTAGATATGAGATGTTCATAAATACTCAAACTCAAGACAGCATATTCTCCGTCAACACCACAGATTCACATACACCTAGTGTAGCCACTTGTACCTTTTTTTCTTGATTGTACTTATTTTTATTCCCATTTCTAAAATGTACCAGCATACAAAGTCAGTTTTGTTTTTTTATTCATAAATGTGTATTCTGCAAACTGTTCACTCTACTTTCTAGAACTAGATAGAATATAGTTAAACAACTAGGACAAATTTAGGATCTGTGTAAAGGATAAAACTACATTGATAAAGATTAGGGCTTTGGGACAACGGATCCAAAAACATGATGACTCTCCACTAAAGAGGCGGTGAAGGGGAGGAGGTGGGTTGCTGCACAACAAACTGCAGCTGAGGCTGATTACTTATGTTTATGTTTGTTTATTTATTTAAGATGACAAGGACAGTGCACAATAAACATTAACCTCAAAAGGAGAGATGCATTGTACCAGGTTATAGCTCAAGAGCTAATTTCCACCTGTAGTCCCTGGGCAGGCTGATGTTATATCACATTAAAAATAACACACGTTCATGGATGTAGTTTACATTTGGCCAAAATACAAGTCTTTACGTGCACATGTATGAGCACAGCACATGTATGTAGTGGAGGGAAGACTCAGTGTCGCAGGGCACCAAGTCACCCTGACAGATTATTTTGCTATTTTTGAGATACACAGAAATTGTGTCTGTAACAGAATATTTCACAAGATAAAGTTAATTACAATGATGATTTTTAAATTAGAGTATATGAATTATGAGTATACTGTCACGCCTCTGTCTGTGACTCTGCTCCCTGCTCTCCTGCCCCTCCCTTCCCTCTGTGTGAGGGCAGGGGTGGGGCCTGCTGTACACACCTGGAGGCAATGATCTGCAGACTACAAGAACCCAGCTCTACAGCCTGTTGGTGCCAGATTGTTTTGTCTGCTGAGTGGTGAATACTCACGTTTGCTCTACCTGCTGTGTTGTTTTTGATTTTTTGCACTTACCTTGTTTTTTGTTCTTTGGCAGTTCCTGGGTTCCTGTTTGGTTTTTTGTCTGCTACTTCAAGTTTGTCTCTGGTTTTTCCAGCTTTGCCTCCCACTCCCAAATAAATGTTATTTTTCATTTTTTGCTTGAGTCACTTTTTGGGTCCCCCTTTTGTGCCGTAACATATACGAATGAATTAATGTTTTAAAAATGGTCACAAATGTAACACTAAACTATACAACTTCTGAAATAGAACAAGATTGTGAATTCAAGAGTGATATGCTTTAATGTGCACCAAAATAAGGAACACGTTCTTTTAAACTCACGTATCACTTGTGCAGAGGGCTGAGTCAGTGCTAGATCACAGACCTGGCTAACCTGGCTGTCTGGGCTGGCTTCACTGGTTCTAATCAAAGCTAATGGCTGCAGAGTGTGAGTGGGCGCGATGTTCGGGACGTTTATGGACAACTGCTGCCCTGCTCTGCCCGCTCTGTCCATCGCCGGCCATTGTTTGTGCTTTCTACTGGCTTCAAAGGCCTGTGGTCAGTGTGTTCTCTGCAGGCTGAGGCGGCGGGCTTATCAGCGCACTTGCACTTGCGCAGACACACGGCTGGCTCAGCGCCTTGTGCTCAAAGCCTGGTGTCTGCGTGCGCTGCACACAGGGCAGAAGCAGCAGGATGCATTCTGATAAAAGATGTGATTCAGTGTTCTATTTTGTCATCTGTCCAAGAGAATGTCACTTTAATGTCCACTGGTCTGAGCCGTGGGTTGGGGAGAGAGGAAAAACCACTTCAAACATGACTGATTTTCATCATTTTATCAGCTTTATTACATTTACTACATTACTTAACCATTATTAACCATTGTTACCTTATTGTTTTCTGCACACCTGAGAAGTTCATTATAATCGGTTTGGGAGTGTCAAAAGATCTCCCATTCACCATGTGCGTCTTTAATCACATTTGTTTCATACAGAGCCCACAGGGGGCAGAGTACAGGTAAAAAATGAAAAGGGATTAGGATAACATATCTCACAATCCTTATAATATATGCAGAGTTAATTAAAAAAAGTTTACCAAAACAGTTAGCAGCACTAATACTTATGGCTACAGCTGTCAACAAACACACAAGGAGGATGTACGACTGGTGTTGAGGGAGCTGGTCCCAAGAGGAGAACAAGAAATGCAGACAAGACATCTCAGATCTCAGATGACAGAACTACTACTATGAAAAACTAAATCCCTATGGTATATGTGTGAATGGGTGCTTGTCTCTCGTGCCAGAGACGGTTTATAATCTTCAAATGTTTCTCGCTTTGATTTAACTTAAAATAAAACAATTTCAAAATATATCTCAATAAGCCAACTTTTGCGTATGAGGATATTTAGTAAGCCCCCTGCGGGCCTCCGTAGTTTCATGGCCAAGACACCTGTGATTTCCCATTTAGGTACTAAACAACTTTCAATGTTCTTAACTTTTGAGAAATGACGAGATCAGGCTTTAACAATTGTGTGTCCACAATATCTACTTGGGAAAAATGTGAATCTCGCTTTGTCTCATGGGAATTATTTCATCCCGCTCCTACTTTTATTTCAAAATGATAGCCAGACAAACCATAACCGTGACTAATTGCCATATTTTTGAAGCTTTACACGAACTAAGAAGGCGCCTCACATCAGTTTCTCATGTCCCCTTGTGATGAGGACGTGACTAGAACAAGCTGCAAAAACAAACATTATTTAAAGCCATGGTTATTCTTGTTCTGGAATTGAATTCTGTATTGAATCAGTAAGTAAGTAAGTAAGTAATCTTTATTTATATACCGCCTTTTCACTGCAGATCTGAGTCTCAAAGCGGTTTACAATTGTTAATTATGGGCATTTATCTCTCACTCCACACAGAGATGGGAGCGGGGGTCGCCAGTACAGGAGCCGCCTGCCAGACATGCCTATTGGACATATTTTTAGTGGTAGGGGAAACCGGAGTACCCGGAGGAAACCTACGCAGACATGGGGAGAACATGCAAACTCCACTCAGAAAGGCCCTGGTCCGACCGGGATTCGAACCCAGGACGTTCTTGCTGAGAGGCGAGAGTGCTATCCACTCAGCCACCGTGCCGCCCTGTTGACTGATGACCATTGGTCATCAGTGTTGATGACCAATTCAGAACATGGACACCATAGCAAATGGCACTATAATGAAAGTGATAATACTTGAGTATTACTTGGCTCTACACTCTGCATTTCCACCGGTACCAGGTAATTTTGTAGAATTTGCTTGGTCATGGTTCTTACTAAGGTGTAACTATGATGTAACTATGGGTAATAGGAAATACTACCTCACCTGGTTATTACACAAACTTTCCAAATACAAATGTTCAGAACTCGAGGATCAGGGACCATAAAGTTAAGGTATACTTAAGTGTATTTGTGTATCTGCATTTAACCCATTCTGTATTGCCTCTAAGGCAACCAGTCAGAAGCAGTGGTCGCCATTGTGTACCGCTCAGGGACCCATCTCCAGATGTTGATGACAGAACTATCAAATCTTGAGAGTGGTGTTTTTAATGGTACAGGGAACCGGAGCACTCTGAGGAAACCCACGCCCCAAAGGCGCTGTTTCGATCAGTATTTAAACCCAGGACTTGCTTCGCTTAACTGGCACAAGCAGGAGCGTGTGAACCATTCGTGTTGAGTTGAGAGCGGCCATACCTGTCTGTGAGTGGAGTGATGACTAAACGCGGCGTGTTTCCCAGGTATTCGTAGGAGTAGAGGAAGTTTGCATCACAGATGTTGGCGAAACAGTGTTTCTCTGCCTCGTCCCAGCGGTGCCGCAGCTGGGAGAGCCACACGAAGGCCTGCGAGTTCTCCACCTGGAACCAGCAACAACAGCCTCAGCCATCACCATCTTAAGGCCGCTAATTACACCAGGAACAGACATAGCTCGAATATCTATAAAGCATTATTCATCAGTGATAGGATCTTATGAAATTCCACAGTAATCAGCACGTCTGCATAGTAATGAGGACGTGCTGTTTTAAGATATGTACCGGAAATTACTTTACGAAGATGAATTTCCTGATTTGGCAAAATGCTAAACGCTATTGCCATATCTAAAGTAAAGCATCATGCAACATTTTATGTGAAAATTAATTTCTATTATTTGTATATTTGACTTTAGTAATGAGTGACCCAGCGGCTGTATAAGGGGCATGGCGCCTTTACTTTCCTGAGAGTGATCTCTAGGATGCCATAGGTGTCATGGTGTGGACTTTCTGTTGATGTATCTGGTTTTATTTTGATATGTTTGTTCTCTTGTCGTAAGTTTTACTTCCTGTCTGTCTTGTTGATTGTTTGCCCCTCCCTGATGTGCTACACCTGTGTCTACCTGTGTGTATTTAGACCCTGTGCTCCTGTCCTCTTGTTGTCGGTTCATTGTTGTTTGCTCCCCTATGTCTTGTTCCCGGTTTCAGTTGTACTTTTTGTGGCGTTTATAAAATGATATTATTTTTGCAGTTCTGCTTTTGGGTCCTTCCTTGTTTACCCGTGACAGAATGAACCGACCACTAGTGATGGGTAAATGAAACCTCACGTATCGTTTCGGCACATTCAACAAACTGTACTGATACTGTGCCGCAACAGTGTTGCTTGTGCTGCTCAAATCATTGCATCCAACTCACTGATTCAATGAGCTTTATACTTGTCTGTACACAATATTACGTAACTGCATTGTCTGTGTTATTTTATTGTTATGTGAAAATCAAAGTGATAGTTGTGAATGTATTCATTAAGCAAAATGTCATTGAGTGATTATATATATATATATATATATATATTTTTTTTTTGTTCAAAACAATAAGCATGTCCAAAGTGCACTGTAAACCCTGGCAACTAAAGTATACTTGAAAAAACCTTTGACATTTTCTGCACTTCAATTTCTCAAAATCATTCTTCAAGACTGTGGTGTCAACATAGCTTTTCAGGTCCGACTGGGATTCGTACCCAGTTCTCTCAAACGCGAGGTGAGCGCGCTATCCACTCATCCACCATGCCTACCCAGGTTTTCCGTTTCAAACTAAATCTTGATTGTAGATAAAGCGTGAAATATAAAATACAAACATTGCCTTATTTGCTGTTATTTGCAGTATCACACTGCAGAATACTTTCTTTTAGTTGCAGGTTCCATTTTTATGCTGTAAAATGGGATGTTTTTCCTTTTTGAAAGGGTTATTTTCTTTTTCTGAGAGCGGTTCATACCGGTGACACTTGCAGATGTGGAACCTTTTAAACACAGTTTGCCGTGTCGGTGACAAGCGACACTGCGGCTGTATCGGTCACGTGGCTTTTTCATAAAGCGACACGCGCGCCGATACGAGGTTTCGCTAAACGAACTCGCACATGCGCCGGTGTATCAGTGTTGCTGGACCCATCACTACCGACCACTATTGGACTCCGCAGACTGCTTTTCTTTTTTACCCACACCTTGATAATTTTTCTGGACCTCATCTCTGCCAAGGTCATCTTGCCTACATGCCTTCTGCCAGTTGTGGACCTCACCTTGAACCACCGCCAGATAAGAATTCCATCTGGGGTGGTCTCCTGTTTTTCCCTCGGAGCCACTGCCGGGCATTTTTTCTCCGCCTGGGGCGGTTCCCTTTGCTCCTGTCCTGACCTGGAGGTCTACACTGGGTTCCAGCTCCTGCGTGTTCCTTGTCCCTGACCTGTCCCAGACTATAGTCTCCGGCTGGGATGGTCGTCTTCTGCTTGTGACTCTGTGCCACCGCTGGACATTGTTTTCCGTTCGGGGTGGTCTTCTGTGCCCTGTTCTTCGAGAGAGGTCTACTCTGGGTTCCAGTACATCTTCCTCCTGTCTCCCTCTGCCCTCCTGGGACAGTTTTTTTGTTTTGTTTGGACATCTGGGATATCTGTCCTAGAAGGGGGGGTACTGTCATGGTGTGGACTTTCTGTTGATGTATCTGGTTTTATTTTGATATGTTTGTTCTCTTGTCGTAAGTTTTACTTCCTGTCTGTCTTGTTGATTGTTTGCCCCTCCCTGATGTGCTACACCTGTGTCTACCTGTGTGTATTTAGACCCTGTGCTCCTGTCCTCTTGTTGTCGGTTCATTGTTGTTTCTCCCCCATGTCTTGTTCCCGGTTTCAGTTGTACTTTTTGTGGCGTTTATTAAATTATATTATTTTTGCAGTTCTGCTTTTGGGTCCTTCCTTGTTTACCCGTGACAATAGGATCAATTATTTGGAAGGTTTTCTCTGCAGTGGGAGCCCTGCACCAGAAAACTACAAACTAATTGATCCTGGAGATTTGTAGACCACTAGCGGCGCCAGGTTTACAGCTGTGGGTGGGCCTTATATAAATATGCGGGCAATTATAAATAATTGCCTGCAAATTTCAATGAGACAAAACAACCAATTTCTCAGTTGGATACAATGTGCATCCTCATTTATATGTTTTTTCTAAATAATTTTAACAAACAATTTTGATATCTAAATCCACCCACGCACTTTACTGCCTGGATGTTCTACGTAAAGCACTGCACTAGTATTATATAGGCCAACATACTATACATATTACATAATATAGAGGCCTACATTAAACAAATGATCACCATGTGCTTCCGTCATCACTGTGTGAAGAGAATGTAAAAATATCTGAATTCTGAACATTGTAGAGCGCTTTGGGTGACCTTGGTTTATAAAATGCGCAATATGAATAAACATTACATTACAAACAAACAATACATTTGTGTGTGTGTGTGTGTTTTTTTACACTATGTAGTTGTTGACTCAACTTCAAAAATAATTGTTAGTGACAATGATGTATGGAGTAATACGTATCATATACTATACTTATCACATGCTGAGGTGACGTGCATAAACTGACATAAATGTGTGAAAAAGTCTGGATTTTTCACTCCTGACTTCTGTTGAAAATATTGGATGAATATGTTCGAAATAGCCAAACAGCGAATAGGGCTAGTGCTCTGTGAAATGGGTGGCAGCTGATGGCACATCCCCAACCCAGAAATGGACAATGAGGAAGAAAATGGATGGATGGATGTTCGAAATATGTTTGGTTCTCCCAAATGGTTGTGCATGGCGGCGCGGCTAACCTTCTGAGCCACCATCTTGTCCACCACGTCTCGGCCGTGGACGTCGATGGTGCAGATGGTCATGACCTTCTGGCGCTCCCCGGGGCTGAGCTGTCCCAGGAGCAGCGAGATCAGCGTGTTGAGCTGAGACACCTGCTTCTTGTGGTACTCCTTCAGCGCTCCTTCATAGCCCTCCTCCAGACGGGCAAAAGCCAAACCCACGTCTGAGGCCCACCACACCTGGGAGCCCGTCAGCGCCACCTGGGGCAGAGCAGGGGACATAACCTTTCACCTTTGCTAGGTTACAGACCTGCTATAACAAATTTGGAATTGCTCTAGTGTCCACTTTGGTCAAATGTGTCCTTGGAGAAAGTGTTCAGTATAGTCAGATTACAAAATATATTATTTTGTATAAAATCTGTTATGAGAGATGGGCAAACCAAGTTAGAGAGCAGTGTTTTTCAGTGCGCTGGAAACGGAACCAAGTCCTAAGCAGCTCTGAGACAGTTGTGTTCTATTTTGTGCTTTACAATTGTTAATATTCTTTACTGCAGTTCATGGTTTTACAATGATCCAGACCAGAGCAGAGAAGATGCACCGTCTGAACGAAGCAGATCCAGCGTAAATTCACTGGAGGAATGCAATTTGTTATTATTTTAGCATTAAGCATTTCACTCTGAACCAGAGCAGAGAGAATGGTTTGTTTGGATGGATGTGTTTCTGCTGCAGGACACCTGAATTTCTCCTAAGTGGGATTAATAAAGTATTTATCAAGTAATCATATTTGCTAATCATAGATTTGTGTTGGTTTTCACATCAACATCTATTTTGTTTTTTACTAAGTTTGATAAAACAGGTAAGATTTTATTTGTTAAAATACAGTCATATTTTTTTATCAGCAACAGATGGTAAATTAAAATCTCTCCAGTTGGTCGTTATGGTTTTTTTTTGGCAACCGATAATAGAATATGCAGGATCAAATTCTTCAAACACATTTCTGTTCGTCAATTATGATTATCTCACATGGTTTTGGACACATTTTCTTGTTGGTAAAATTATGTGAACACTGTGAAACTCTGGTCTTGTCACTTGTGCTAAGATTAAACAATGAAACATGTCAAAACAGCTGAGACACAATCTCAAACCTTTGCATCCTTTGTCATTTTCGTTGACTATTTAGCTTGTTTTCGTCCTGTACTTTCAACCTTGTTTTATTTATGTACATGTTTGGTGCCCACTGGGAAATTTTGCACATGTACTCGATGTGGTTTTACTGCAAATGGAAAATGAATATAAAACTAAATTTGGAAAATTAACACTGGTATTTACATGCACATTAGATTATTTTACCTGAGCAGGGAAATCAAAGAGCCACTGGTCCCTGGGTTTGTCCTCGTAGGCCGCCACTGCTTCTGCCATCTGGTGTCTCACCGTGGAGCGCATCGTGTCCAGTACAGCGTTCAGCCACACCTCCACCTGCCCATCAACCGATACCTTTTTTCAGGCAAATTCTGATGACTTTGAATCCAATGACATTTGTTTGTTTACATCATACTCAGTACTCTGTAGGGTACTCTGATTACTATTGCACTGAGGATGGTAATGGCACCTGGAGAGCAGTAATATCTCTTCTCTTTTCTGATAGGTTTGTTATCAGTTCTGTTGTTGCTGTCAGTATCTACAATAATTTTATGGTGACATTGTGTTACTTGTTTTGTGGAGATGTGACTTAAACAAGACTGTTGTTGTAGTTGTGTCTCACTCCTCTGTTAAAAAGAAGAGTTCAAACTGTTACTGTCATAGAGGCTTTCTGGTCTCTATTTCTGGTCTCTCTCTTTTCTCTCGCTTGTCTCTCTCTGCTCTCTCTCTCTCTGGTCTCTCTCACTCTAGTCTCTCTCTTCTCTCTCTCTGGTCCCTCTCTGCTCTCGCTCTCTGGTCTCTCTCTCTGGTCCCTCTCTCTGCTCTCGCTCGCTGGTCTCTCTCTGCTCTCGCTCTCTGGTCTCTCTCTGCTCTCGCTCTCTGGTCTCTCTCTGCTCTCGCTCTCTGGTCTCTCTCTCTGGTCTCTCTCTCAGATCTCTCTCTCAGATCTCTCAGATCTCTGTTGCTACTCTCTCTCTCTGCTCTCTCTCTGGTCTCAAGGACTGAGCTACTGTCCTTGACAAAACACTAGAACTGTGCTATACAAACAAACTTGCTTTGCTTTACACAGTGAAAAATACAACTTAAGGAAGAGAACTGCTAGAACGTGATATTCTTCAAGAAGGAGTAGAAGTACATAGTCCAACAACAGTTACTCAAGTAAATGTACATATTAATGTAACATAATGAGGTCCTTAATAAGCATTAGACTGGGATCAGGCAAATACTATGGAATGAAATGGAAAATTAATGGTCTTGCCGCTTTGATATGCATAATCCCGGGGGCGAGAGCAGAGCCAATTCCATTTGTCTGCTTATTGTAACGTGTCATCTCTGTATCTTTCACCACACAGCAGGTGTGCTCCTCATATCTCTTTCTCCCTTAGATATGATCATTTTGAATATGAGAAATGTTCAGAATGACTAATGGAAGTGTGTGAGGCCGTTGGTACCTGCCCACTGCAGTCACAGGGCTGGTTAAAGGGGACATATTCACTCTCTTTGCTGCACATGCCCAGTGCCGTCTTCGAGGGGCTGCCCTCCTCATCCATTTCAAACTCCATCTTGGCCATGTTGTCAAAAAGCTTAGACAGGTGCTTCTGGACCTGGACACACACACACACACACACATATATATACAGTAGTTTGAGCCCATATTGTTCTCCTTTCCCGCAGTGTTTTGTTTTAGCTAGTCTCTGGAGTTGTTAATAGAAGGCAAGACCCGTTCTGCGGTCGCTATTTCTTCTTACAGAGATTTAGTGGCAAGTTTTGTTTAACTGTGATTTATTTCTGGGAGGTGAAAACGCATTAGAGAGACTGCTGCTGACAAAGGTTGGAGTAGGAGTAAGAGGGTGAAACCATGAGCAACAGTGCCCCCATGAGGACACTGCTAGTACTACGGTGTCTTACATACTGATCTGAATACAACTGGAATCAAACTGTGATATAGCAAAGTCTAAATGTGTGGTCAATATCTCACATCTTCTCTTCCTTCCACTCCTACTGTACACCCCATGGCATGTCTACACAACCCCTCTTGGTTTAGATTAGTTTCATCCCAAATAAAAACTTCGGAGAGCGTTGTGTGATTGATCATTGCAGTAATCAAGTAACAAGCCGCAGTACACTGTAAGTAACGATAATGACTTTGTAGCAATAGGGAAAGTAATACATTACAATAGTCTGAAAAGCAGTTTGGCTTAGACCCCATTAAACCTCAGTGTCAAATACAACACTTCTAGATTGTCTCCAGGAAGTAAATTTTTAAATTCTCAACGAGAATAAAACTTAAATAGTTGTTTTTAGCTCCAGCCTCCCTGTGGAGCTCACTGATGCACTTGGTGCACTCTCTGCTCATATCCATTCCTTTGCTAGAAACGTACGAGTTATTTTTGATAGCACCTTCAGGATGGACAAGCAAATTAATTCAGTGATCAAAGCCAGCTTCTAGCAGCTCCGGGTCTTGAGCAAAATGAAGGCTTACATCCCACCCGCTGACTTAGAGCGAGTTATCCACCTTTTTATTTCATCTAGGTTAGATTACTGCAACTCGTTGTACTATGGCCTGGACCTTAGCTCACTAAAGCGCCTTCAGCAGGTGTAAAATGCTGCTGCTCGCTTGCTCACAGGGACACGTAAGCGAGAGCACATCACCCCTGTGCTAGCCTCACTTCACTGGCTCCCTGTTTCATTCAGGGTTGATTTTAAGATTCTGATGCTTGTTTTTAAATGTTTAAATGGTTTGGCCCCTGTATATCTGTCAGAGCTATCATCACTGTAAGCTCCTGTCAAATCAGTGAGGTCCGAAAACCAGCTTTTGTTGAATCGGTCTTGTCTCAAAACTCGTGGTGACCGAGCATTTTCTGTTGCTGCCTCCAAACTGTGGAATAGTCTACCTCTGTTCATCAGAGCAGCTCCTTCATTGCTGTTTAAGTGTAGTCTAAAGACACATTTTTACGCCTTGGCTTTTAACACCAATTGAGTTTTACCATTTTACTTTTACATGTATGTGTATGTATTTTATGCTGTTTTTTTTGTTGTTTTTTTTATCTTTCGTGCCTGTGATGCACTTTGGGCAGCTGATGTTGTTGTAAATGTGCTATACAAATAAAGTTGACATAGACACTGACATGTCAGTTATCACATTGGGTCGATATCATAGGCTTGTACTCGTACACATACCATAGGATCCAATGCGGACAACCAATACCCACATTTTTTATTTAAATTAGCATCACGACAGCAGACAGCGAGAAAGCGCTTGGCGCTAGCTTAGCTTAGCGGCAAGCGGACAGGATATCGGCCGTATGGCAGTGTTTTAAAGTAAAAGAGAGTGACAAGAGTAAAGCAGACTGTAGATTGTGTAACTTAAAACTGTCACGAGGTGGGTCCAAAACACATAAACACGAGCAACTTGATACATCTGAAAACTCTCTTTTGCTTTCACCGGAGATATTTATTTGTTTCATTTGTATGAGTGGAATATGACAGTGTCTCTTATTGTTGACTGTTTTCAAAAATTGCAGGGATAACATAATGCAGTACTTGTATCGGTATTCGGTATCGACAAGTACTCAAATGAAGGTACTCGTATGACGCGAGGAGAGAGATGCAAGGAGCGAGAAGAGAAAAATCTGGTATCGGTGCATCCCGAGTTTGTACAATATTGTTTTTATGTACAAAATGTCTTTTTCCTGCAGTTTGTGTAAGCTCTCAATTAGTCAAAGCAAAGGAAGGTTTTTCACCCATCATCTGTACTTCTTCTTTTCGAAGAGAAACCAAACAAGTTAAGAGAGCACTTTCCAGATGTGGCAACCCCAAATGATCTTTTATTAAAGCCCAGAGGACAAGAAAGGCCAGAGAAACAGACAAACCAATAGAAGAAAGTAGGAGGAGAGGGGTGTCCTTAACATATGTGGATGGAGTTTCAGAGAAACTACAAAGAATCCCTGTGTATTTCAAATCTTTCAACACGTTAATTAGTGCATCCCAAAGACAAAACACCCAGACACAAACAGAGAAATGTGGTGTATTCAATTAAATGTAGTGAAGAGGAGTGCACTGACCACTATATTGGAGAAACTAAACAAACCCTACAGAAACGACTTTTACCAACATCGTAGATAAAACTCTAGTGGGCCACTATCGGCGGTACATATCCACCTCAAGGCCTCCAACCACACCGTGAACAACACAGAGATTAAAATTCTGGCTCAAGAAAAAATTGGTTTGAGAGAGGGGTGAAAGAAGCCAATTTTGTGAGGAAACACAAACCATCCCTTAACAGAGGAGGCGGGTTAAGATTGGTTTTGCCGCGCATCTATGACGACGTCCTAAAAACAACGCACTAACTATACACTGTATAAGGTCAGTGACATGCTAATGAGTTAGGAGTGGGGAGACCTGCACTCCATCCAACCTCTCAGCAGACAATAGCTCTGTGACATACTAATGAGTTAGGATCGTTAGCCCCAGCAAGGTCGTTAGACCAGCTCCCTACCACATCTGAACAGACATTAGTTTGTTAATGAGTTAGCCTCAGAATTAAGGTGTGGCTAACACACCCACAGGATATAAATCTCCAACTCGCGGTCTGAGATTTCATTCCCTTGAAAAGGTTATTTGGATGAAGGACGAAACGTCGGAAAAACCTGCTAAGAAGTACGGATGATGGGTGAGAAACCTTCCTTTGCTTTTTGTTGAAGTGTTATTAGGAAACTAGATAACTAGTTATCGGTATGATGGAACAAGGTCTTTCTGAGTTTGCATGCTCTCAAAGTGTACATGGAGGAAGGCTAACTTTTTGAAAAACGCAAACAAAGTATTTAGCATTTTACTTTGGACCAAAGCAAAGAAAATGGTCCGAACCTCTACTGCTTTGACCCGTCCTGCTCGACCCAAAGACTAGACCACCTCTGCTGCTGTGACCTGAAGTGCTGTTTTGTCTTATTACTATTACTAGTGTTAGCTTTTTAGAATTATCAATTTATTTGTTTTGTTCGAGTGGATGGATGTGTTTTTGCTGCTACTGGACACCTGAATTTCCCCTACGGGGATCAATAAAGTATCTATCTATCTACAACAGGTATATCCTCCAGCTCCAACCAAGGAAATGGGCCCCTGGGCGCTGTACTACAGTAATCACTGCTCCTCACAGAGGCCCTAGTGAAATTAAAAGGATGGGTCAAATTCAGGAGACACATTTCCCTACACTAAAATAATTCACCTACACAATAAAGACTTCACGCTGACAATCTCTGTGTTTGCAGTGTGTGTCTGGTGTGGGGGATGTGACACATAATCTCGGGTTGAAGCTTTGCATTAGAGCCTTTATCTGCAGTTGCCCCAGAAATGGCACCTGTTGTGGGTTGGTCCCGTTGGACAGGACGTCCAGCAGATCAGCCGATGAGATGAAGTAAAACCTGGGGAAAGCCAAACGCTTGGTGTCCAGGTACTCTGCCAGAGCCTTCTCACAGAGAGCCAGCCTGCACACACACATGGACATGATGAGAAGCCATTAGATTAGACCTGAACAAGTTTGTGAAAATATGTTTATGATCAACTTGCAGCGTTAACGTAAGAGGTACCATGGCCAGATTTTAAAGCAAATGTTCCTATGAAAAACACATTTTTTATTTTAATCTAAAATCCCTTTTGATCAGGAAAAAGTACCCTGAAACAAATAACCATCAAATCAAATGAACTGTTTTTGAAAGTAAAACATGTACATACTGTATATCCACAGATAGATCAACTGTGTTACTTTTGGTCCAGGCCAGTTTTAATTTTTAAATTAAAACTGGCCTGGAAATTTCCAGAGACGCAAAAATAGAGCTCCAAACAAGCTTTCCACTTAAGCTGCGTTCCCACTGGACCAAAGGTCACGGCGAGTTTACACAATGTTTACAGTGCCGTACAGTACGTCGGAGCGAATATGTGCGGCCTACATCAAAACGTTGGAGATGAACATTGTTAAACGTTTTTGCTCGATGCACCTGCGGCAACCAATCAGAGAGCAGCAAAGTGGTCACAGGGACACGCGCCTCACAGAGCAGGAAAAGACAGACCATTTCAAGACATCAATGTCAAGATCGTTCAACGTAGCCTTTTTATGAAAAGTGATAAAGTATTTTTTACCTAGAAACAGGTGACTCTCACTTAGCACACAATATTAAGAGGAGTGTTTGTCACATTTGACAGACGTGTGATAAAAAACACAATTCTAAGTATTTATTGTAGAAGGATGCTATATTTAAAATAACGTCTTACTTGAAAATAGAGCTCACCTGCTCTGGATCTCCTCCAGGCTTCCAAACAGACCTGCTTTGTTGGTGGCCTCCACTACGTTGGGAGTTCGCTGCATGGCGTTTGCAAGCCCTTTGAAATCTGCATCAATGCCCTCGAAGCGCCTTGAGTCCTGCCAAAGATTTGGAGCAAAAAATTTATTATTTAGGTTTTCATATTGAACATCTTTGATTGGAGTAATAGAACTGTGGCAATGGCAAGTCTAAACTCAGCGGAGACTTAACGGAGACATATTCCATGCTCAGTTTGTCCTATAATTTTATTTGCACCAAGTGATTATTGATGAGGAAAAAAAGCTGAATTTATTTTCCCACTTCATGTTAAGAATGACCAATATGAGTCCTCAAAAAAGTGTTTTTTTGTTTTGTTTTTTTGAACAGTTGGCCGAGTTAATTTGGGAGCAATCAAGCGTGATTTTACATTTGGGAAGAAAACTTTTAATAATATTATATTCCAGTTGGTAAATCAGTGCCATTTAGAACATATTTGGCACAATTTGGCACATTTTGACACAATTTGTGCCAAATTTGGCACAAACTGTTTCACTCAAATTGTAGTAAATGCTGTTCCCTATTTAGACTATATAAACACTCCACTGTTAACAGTCTCGTCATGCCTCTTCCCTGTTGGGGCCGTTTTCATAATTATCAGTCAAAGAAGTGCGTTATGTTTGATTTAGTAATGAAAGATATACAGAATAATTAAATGGTCAAAAATGACCATGAGTTTGAATGGTGCTACTGGAGGAGGATAAGAGATTGAGCTGATCTCTTATCAATCACTTCATGGTGTCACAAAACATATAATTGTTAGAACTAACATTGGGATTTAGGGCTTTACAAAAAATAATTGAATTGAATAAATCCTAATCCTCAGATCCAAAAAGGTGCCAGAGAGTCAGATCAAAGAACAAAGATCCTATGAACCTTGGAACGGACATTTTTACTATGTATTTCTCATGTTATTGATCTCAAATGAAGTGAATAATAGTCATTCATAATAGTTATAGTTATATACAAGATATAGCCCCTCAATCCCGACTTTAAAAAGATCTGCCCCACAGTGATATGAGACTCAAACCCTATAAAACGACAGAATCATGAAGCACTCACACGCACTGGTTGTCATTGTGCTTATAAATTGTTTTGCTTGTTTATATCATAGACCTTAAAGATTTTTTACAACATAAATCACGAAGCAAATATCCATTCTTCCGCTTTATCCATTGACAGGTCGCAGGGGCAGCAGTCTAAGCAGAGACACCCAGACTTCCCTCTCCTCACAAACTTCCTCCAGCTCTTCCGAGGGAATCCTGAGCGTTCCCAGACCATCTGAGAGACATAATCCCTCTCATGTGTTCTGGATCTTTCCCTGGTCTCCTGCTGCTGTGAAACGCCAAAAACCACTCTAACTGGCTCCTCCCAACGTGGAGAAGCAGCGGCTCTACCCCAAGCTCCTCCCGCGTGACTGAGCTCCTCACACTGGGCCTCATGTATGAAACTTGCGAACACCCAAATCAGAGTGTAAATGAGGCGTACGCAAAAATGTACACTTTTCGGCATTTATCAATCTGGACGTGAGCGTACGGTACGCACAGAAGTCAGGAGGTGGTGTAAATGTGTACGCTCATTTCAACCTTCATCACAACACGCCAAAACACGCATGAAATGCAAGATTTGGACAAGAATAAACATATTCACAGTCTGGCAAAAATATAAACTGCGTTTTCTTTGATCATCATGTTTCTGAATTTGAATTTGCACATCAGAAAAACTAACCCTCTGGAAACACGCACATTTTGAATAGATCACAGATCATGATACGTTCATGATGAGGACCCTCTTCTGTTTCTTCATTTTTAAATCTGACTTGTGTGTATTTTTTTTCATCTGTATGTTTTTTTTATTTTTGATGTGAAGCGCTTTAATTTGTGATCCTGCTCTGTGAAGGCGTAAATACACCTGGCTTACTTACTTACTTAATGTGTGGCCATCTATTTGTCCCTAAATCTGTGGCAGACCCTGCGTAATTACGCATGGCTATTTGTTTTGTCTCATTCACCTCTGGCAAAGAAACGTATTTCTTCATTAGTTACGCAGCAATGGCAGAGAAAAGCGCTTTTTTGTGTGGAAACTGGCTCACGGGCAGCAGGTGCCACACAGCGAGACTCATGCGCATCCTTTCTCTCATCGCTCCATTGCATTCACAAGAAGATGTCGCTGACGCTTGACCCAGATGAGAGTCACCGCTGAGATATTTATATTCATTCATTCATTCATTTCTAAAGAGATGAGCGCTGCAGTGGGTCTAGACACTAGGGGAAAAACGCGTATATATAATCAATCAGGGTTTTCTTTTTGTTTTTTTTGACAAAATAGTAAATAAAACTCTATAAAAACTGACAGGCCTTCTCAGGCTTCAAACTAGACTTGCTGGCCGGCTTCTACGCTGAGCTGTCGTAAAAACGGGGCGTTTTCTTGATATTTCAAGGTGTGACTTTCATAAATACGCTAGTTTTCTCCGCGGCATTCATCAACAGTCGCGGCTGCGTACGCTCAGATCTGTGCGTATCTCACTCGTTCATAAATCTCGCGTTCAGTCTGGCGTAAATGGAAAATACACCAAAAGTATCACCCTTTTCTGCACAACTTTCATAAATGAGGGCCACTATCTCTAAAGAAGAGCCCTGCCACTCTTATTTTGATTAAAGACCAACAAATCAGTATTGCTTCAAAAACGTCCAAATTGGTCATTTCCCAACATGAATATCAAAAGGGAGAGCGGCTATCTTAAAAAACTCAGTGTTAAAATCTTTTGAGGGCAAAGAGATGGTACCTCAGGCAGCTGTGTGCGGATGTCCTCTGAGCCCATGAAGATGCTCTCCAGATGGCTCCAGGTCCGCTGCACTTCCAGCCACATAGAGATGACGGAGTCGGCCACACACAGCCGGCTCTGCCACCCCGACACCTGCTCCAGAAAGTGTGAGATGTGCTTGGAGCTCAGCAGGCTCTGCAGCTGCACCTGGTGGTCCTCCAGGGTCTCCATAAGCTCCTCGTCGCTCCGCAGCAGAAGCACTTGTGTCCTGGGGTGAGCCTCGTACTGGAACTGCATACCTACAGCACATTATGGGAAGTAAGTAAGTAATTAATCATGTACAGTTTATTTATGTATATGAGAGAATAATGTATTCAAACATGCATGTATAGGTCTGTTTCACAGCTGACTCTGCCACCATCGCACCTGAACTCTCAGGAAGCTGGAAGGCAGTAAAGTGTGGATTTAAAGAAAACCGAAGAATTTAAGAAAGAAAAAAAGTTCAGGATGACAAGGGACACTAAAATACCCACAAAATACGACCTTTATGAAAGCTGTAGGTTCTCTGTCAGCTGAGGTCGAGTTGTGTTTTAGTTCTATATGACTTTTGCTGGGTAGCCCGGGTAAATTTAGCCTGCAGTACCACGGGCGCCCTCTGTGCTCATGGGTGGGACAGCTATAAGCTAGTAATACTCTATCAAGTTATTTTTATAGATCCATGGGCCCCACAAACAATACAAGTAAACAAATGCCATATTACATCTTTTCTAAACCAATTTCTAAACATATGTTGTATTCACACATCCTTACAATTTCAGTACCACCAACTAGAAAATGTTGTGCTATGGTTATGCAAAACATAGAAAAGTAACTTGTGGCACATGTAAATCCATAAAAACATGTAAGCTACTTAAGAAGTGAAATCATTCATGTTACAGTAAACAACAAAATTGATACATCTTGACTGTTTTTGGCTCTTTGGGCTCATGGAGTTGTATAAAGTTGGAATACTTTGTGTGGATGTTTTAAATGATGTAGATTGTATAATTGATGTCCAATTCATTCCAGATGTTTGGGCCTTTACATGTGATAAACTGCTGCATAAGAGTTTGCAGCGTAATCCCTGCAGCCAGTTTTTCTTTCTAGTGTCTCCAGAAAGTTAGCAACAGAACTGAGACATGGCCAAAAACTCGGTCACACAAGACATTTGGAAACATGAATTAAAGGCAGAGGTTCAGGCCAGAAGACTGGAAACTGCATAGATGTGTAATTCAATCTGGAGAGACTTTGAGGAGACAAAATGCATTTGAAGTTTTTTATTGAAAGGTAGTTTGGCGCCCTAGGCCCCGGTGCAGCGTTCAGTCAGCGAGGCTCCTGCGAGAGTGCGCGCACAATCCCCCGGGACCTAGGCACTGGTGGCGGCATTCGGGCAGCAGGAAGAGGCATGATTGAGGCAGGGTGAGAAAAGGGAGGAGGAGGGGAGGCGGTGGTTTGCAAGGCTTCGAGGAGGCCGTAAAGTGGGAGTTTCTTTGCTTTTAAGCGGCTGGCCTGGCCGGCATAGGTTGGTTGGAAATGGGCGTTTGCTGTGCGATAGGCTGGGGATGCGAGGCCGGCCTGGAACGGGTGGCTTTGGCTGACGTCTTCCAGAATTGAATTTCCGCAAGGCTGCATTTCAATCTGGAGAGACTTTGAGGAAACAAAATGCATTTGAAGTTTTTTATTGAAAGGTAGTTTGGTGCCCTAGGCCCCGGTGCGGCGTTCAGTCAGCGAGGCTCCTGCGAGAGTGCGCGCACAATCCCCAAAAGGCTGTGCGTTTGATGGGGTTTTAGGCAGGCCTGGTTAGCAAGGGACACCTTGCTAACCAGCAAGGTGCACCGCTATATATAAAGGCACCGCTATTTATAAAGGCAACACTATTTATAAAGGCACCGCTATATATAAAGGCAACACTATTTATAAAGGCAAAGCTATTTATAAAGGCACCGCTATGTATAAAGGCAACACTATTTATAAATGCAACACTATTTATAAAGGCAACACTATTTATAAATGCACCGCTATATATAAAGGTAACACTATTTATAAAGGCACCGCTATATATAAAGGCAACACTATTTATAAAGGCAACACTATTTATAAATGCGACACTATTTATAAAGGCAACACTATTTATAAAGGCAACACTATTTATAAATGCTCAGCTGCTGCCGCCACCAGGGAGTTTTGCAAGAGCTTACGGGGATGCCAATAGACGCTTGGCTGCCAGAATGGTCGAAGTGTCCGGCCTGATGTATGAGGAGAGGGCAGATGATGACCAGAGACCCAACTGCTGAAGGGCAGAATGGGGGAGTCCCAGGGAAGCAGCGCTAGAGGCAGCGCCTATCCGGAAAGAGTGAGCTGTGTAGAGATGAGGGGACAAGTTACAAAGTAGCAGTACGGACTCATGGGGAGGTTGTCGGGAGTGAGGAATAACGGTCTGTTGAGATCTCCTTTCCGAGAGCGGAGACGAGTGTACGCATCATGGATCTTGAAAGTGTGCTGGAGCAAAGTGCGGCGCAGAGCTGATGGAGGATGGACAGTGTGATGGGGCGCCTGTGGTCCGAGGAATGAGGGGTGCAGTTGTGAATGCCTTTGATGACGAGTTTGATCGAATAGAGAGGAGAAAGCGGGGTTGTGACAGCGGGCCTGGAATTGGATCCCGGCGAGAAGAGAGCGAATGTAAGAGATCTTGTGTAGAGGAGATTGTCCGCACAGTGAACTAAGAAGGCGCAGATGGTACATACAGAGAACGGAATTAGGGGAATGCTGTGAGCGTAGCAAAAGCAGGAGTAGACTTTTCAAGCAAAGCAGTAAGATTTCAGCGTGGAAAGTGAGAGGCCCATTTTCATGTAGGATGACGCGGAGGAGAGGAGAAGGTGAAGAGACTGTGGGACTAGGCGAGGGATTCCATGGCGTTGAATTGGCAGAGTGGCAGAGGCGTCGGAACTCCTGGAATTTAAAAACGAGAGAGACAATCAGCAATACAGATAAGCTGACCAGGGACGTGACGAGCAGTGATGATAAATTATTTAGGACTGAGAGCCATGTGATGCGTCTGAGAAAAGGCATGACTTGGGGAGAGGACGAACGACCTCTGTTAATTATTTCTACCACGTCGAGATTATCACACAACACAGAATCCTTTTCTGTGCCACGTGTGGCTCCACGGCGCGCAGGCCACGGCTACGGGATGTATTTCATGGAGGGCGGAGGAGATGCTTCGAGGGAAGGAGTCGGGCCGGGGCCCGGCAAACCACTGGTCCTGGAAGAACCCCCCAAAACCCATGGACGGGGCTGCGTCCGTAAAGAAACGCAGGGCATCGGGGGACGGGACGACGTCGCTGTAGAAAAGATACGTCGTTCCAGCGGCTCAGCAGACGGGACCAGAACGCTAGGTCGGAGCGGCACCCGGCGTCCAGGGAAACAGCATCATGGAGGGAGGGGACGGGGCCAGCGAGTGAGAGGAGTCTGGAAATAAAGGAACGACCCTGAGGGATGATGCGGATGGCATAATTGAGGTGACCGAGAGGGAGAGCAGCTGACGCGTTGAAAGTGACGGGGAGGACAAGGCAGACCGGGAGAAAGCGCGGATGCGCCCAAGCTTGTCCAGCGGGAGGGAGGCCTCCACGGCGCGCGTGATGAGGCGGATGCCGAGAACTCCAAAGCGGTGGCGGGGCCGGTGGTCTTCTCGGAGTGAAGGAATCCGAGGGCAGAGAAGGCGAGCTTGAGCTTGCGGAAAGAGCCCCCGGAGCAGTCTGAGGGTGGGTCGACTACGAGGAAATCATCGGGGAGATGCAGGACAGAGGGGAGCCGCGCGTAATTAAGCAGAATCCGACACGGCGCCTCCGAGAGATTGTTGAACAGAGAGGGACTACTCCGGCAGCCAAAGGTGAGGCGCACGGTGAGGAAGAACTCTGACGCCGCTTGACCCCTGAACAGCGCCAGTGGTCGGGGTGGATGGGCAGCAGCTCGAACGCGTCCGGGATGTCGGCCTTGGAGAGCCATGAGCCGGGGCCGAAAGTCTTTATCAGCCTGATCGCGTGGTCCACGGTAGCGGACTGCAGGGAGAAGGGCGCTGGAGGGAAGGGGCTGTTGATGCTCGGGGCGGGCCCGGAGCGGGGACAGGAGAGGACGAATATGAGACGCTTCTTCCTGGAGCGCTTGCGGGTGGCGATGCCCATCGGGTTAAAGCGAGACTGAGAGAAGGGGCCAATGACGTAGCCCACGGACACCTCCCGCGCCAGAGCCGCGCGACGACTTGGGGCTCACGGAGAGCCGGAAAGAGGTTGCGGGACACGAGAGACGCCGAGGGACCTAAACAGAGCTTGCAGTCCAATGTGAGGGATTTAAACAGAACTTTCAGTCCAAAGTGAGGGATTAAAACTGAGCCCGCAGTCCAAGTGAGGGGTTTAAACTGAGAGCCTGCAGTCCAGTGTGAAGGAGTTAAACGACAACCCAAGTGAGGGATTAATACTGAGAGCTTGTAGTCCAAAGAGAGGGATTAAAACTGAGAGCTTGCAGTCCAGTGTGAGGGATTCAAACAGAGCCTGCAGTCCTAAGTGAGGGATTTAAAACTGAGAGCTTGTAGTCCAAGTGAGGGATTAAAACCGAGAGCTTGCAGTCCAGTGTGAGGAATTTAAACAGAGCTTGAAGTCCAAAGTGAGGGATTAAAACTGAGCCCGCAGTCCAAGAGGGGTTTAAACTGAGAGATTGCAGTCCAAGAGAGGGGTTTAAACTGAGAGCTTGCAGTCCAAGAGAGGGGTTTAAACTGAGAGCTTGCAGTCCAGTGTGAGGGATTCAAACAGAGCCTGCAGTCCTAAGTGAGGGATTAAAACTGAGAGCTTGCAGTCCAATGTGAGGGATTCAAATTGAGAGCTGCAGTCCAAGGAGAGGGATTTACCAGAGCTTGTAGTCCAAGAGAGGGATTTAAAGAGAGCCTGCAGTCCAATGTGAGGGATTTAAAGAGAGAGATTGCAGTCCAAGTGAGGGATTAAAACTGAGAGCTTGCAGTCCAATGTGAGGGATTAAAACGGAGCTTGTAGTCCGAGTGAGGGATTTAAACAGAGTTTGTAGTCCAAGAGGGGGATTTAAAAAGAGCCTGCAGACCAATGCGAGGGCTTTAAACTGAGAGCTTGCACACCAATGCGCGGGGCCAACTGAGCCTGCAGTACAAAGCGCGGGGCCAAAACCGAGCCTGCAGTACAATGCGAGGGGAATAAACCGTCCGCAGGTCAGCATACTTACCCACAACGCCAGAAGACAAGGAAAACAACGGGACCACACCGTACCGGTACAAAGAGGCAGGGATGCGCACAGCTCCCACCGCACCGGTCCAGACCGGCCGTATGCAGCAGCAGGCCGCGACGAGACGAGCAGCGGCGAACCCGCAGAAAGAGCCCGCAAAGGAGGAGAGCGGCAAAGACCCACGGACCACAGCAGAGACCCGCAGCAGGTGCAGCGACACGGAGGAGGAGCAGACCACACGCAGCAAGACAGAGGACAGCAGGGACACGCACGAGTAAGCGTGAGTAGACGAAAGCGATTCCTCCAGAACGACTCTTTGTAAGGCTTCGAGAAGGCCGTAAAGTGGGAGTTTCTCTGCTTTTAAGCGGCTGGCCTGGCCGGCATAGGTTGGTTGGAAATGGGCGTTTGCTGTGCGATAGGCTGGGGATGCGAGGCCGGTCTGGAAGGGGTGGCTTTGGCTGACGTCTTCCAGAATTGAATTTCCGCGAGGCTGCATTTAATATAATTTCTTGCATTTAAGGTCTGCAGAGTCTTATGTGCTAATTTATGCATGCAAAAATAGATTACTATGACGACCTATAGAAAACAATTCTAATAACCCCTTAGTGCGTTGAGTCTCTTCAGATTTTTTTTTAAAAGATATAAACTATAAGGTTAGCATAGTTTCGAAGAATGAAACAAGATACTGTATTTTGTTGTTGGCAAAGTAATTAGAAAATGCAGTCTTCTGAATCCGATGTAATTAGTGTAATTTCACATTATTTTGCAGACCTGTCTCCTGTGTTCTAGCTCTGAAGTACTGTTCTTCTGAAGCCTACCTGTCCAGGTTGAATCCAGCTCTTTCAGGACCTTCTCCATAGACATTTCTTTGACGGCTCTGTCCACAATGGCCCTCACCTCATCCTCGAAGCAGTGTAAATTCAGCTGGAGCAGGTCGGCAAGGCTCGTCTCCTGCAAGTGGAACCCTGGGTTATTGTGGTAGCTTATACTATTAGTTATGTCTAATATTATTATTCCCCATGAACTATGAAAGGTTCACGTGTGACACCCTGGGAGAGCTATGGTAACTTTCACAGATAGGTTTGAGCGATATGGCCAAAGAAAATATACCACAGTAAGAGAATATATCATAGAAGGAGAATTCATAATAACAATATAATTTGTGATATAAAGACCACTGGGAAAAATCTTTAAGCCTTTTCAACATTATAAAAAAAAAATATATTTTAAAAAAAAACGTAATTCCTCCGTCTTATTGCTTTTAAAACAGTTTGGCTCTATCACATGCATGTAATTTTGGACTCAAATCCAATCTTCTGCTTTTACAGACAGAAAAGTGAAAAGGAGTGGAACACCCTCACTCGGCCAATCAGCTCTCAGTATGTACAAGATAACATGTTTTTTAATAATTCATACAGCTTTGTTAAAAACCATGTCATGCTGTGGTCTGATTTTTTCACAAAATGTTATGTGTAACCCAATGTCCCTGCCTGGGAGCTGTCTTAGTACTGCATTGCGTGGCCTCGGTCTTTGTTCTACAGCCTGAGTTCTGGATCCACAGCCTGTCTGTCCGTGGGAGCAGATCCCTAAATGATGTACTGTAGGGTTTCTCATTTTTCTCCCACTAGGTTTTTTGGGCTTTTCCTTTCTGGTGCAGGAGGTTCTAAGGACAGTGGTGATAATCAAGGACACTCCACTTTCAACTACATTTATGGACATATAGGGCGGCACGGTGGCTGAGTGGATAGCACTCTCGCCTCTCAGCAAGTAGGTCCTGGATTCGAATCCTGGTCGGACCAGGGCCTTTCTGAGTGGAGTTTGCATGTTCTCCCCGTGTCTGCGTAGGTTTCCTCCGGGTACTCTGGTTTCCCCTACCACTAAAAACATGTCCAATAGGTCTGGCATGCGCCTCCTGTACTGGCGACCCTGCTCCCATCTCTGTGAGGAGTGAGAGGACAAATGCCCAAAAAAACTAAAAACAATTGTAAACCGCTTTGTGACTCTAGTCTGTGAAAGGCGGTATATAAATAAAGATGACTTACTTACGTACTTACTATATGGGTCATCTGCCCCTTATGGACCAATGGTTCAATGTGTTTTTTAATCATTGCATTTCCTGTGTTTGATCATGCTTGATTCTCTGATCTGTGTTATAATTTAGAGCGCTCAAACATAAATTTAAAATATGGCCAAAGGTGGTACTGCAACCTCTCCCACTCCCTGACTCAGGTTGCCAGATATGCAGACGAATCCAGCTGGGACCATAAAATCGAATAATAATAATAATAATGAATAGACAAGAGTCAACAACAAATCTATAACTGACCCCTTTTTCACGAAGACCCCGATAGAAATCCTTGTTTTATTCCTTGTTTTGTCATTAATGATTTGAGAATCATAACGAGATCTGACCTTTTTTAGTTCTGTGGCCACATGTTTTACCAGTGAGATTAGCGCGACACTATGAGTTCTGGCAACCCAGAACACAAACTTTCTGATTGGTAAAACGGTGGAGGGCTGGACATTGGAATGAAAACAATAACAAGATTTAGGGGCAGTAAATACAATTTTGAAATCCAAATATCTCGACTGAATTAGTCTTATCAGTTAAAGAAGTATTCGAAAAGAGCATGCTTTATTAATAACTTTTGACAGATTAGGGCCATTTACTGATGACTTGACATGAAAATCTTACATATTTCTACTTTAATTGAGTTGAATTAAAAGTTAGGTACACCAGATTTACAGCTTATAGGGGGTGTCACAAGTTTGGGACCGAAGTTTATGATATTAGCGTCCCAGGTTTGTTTTTGAGGATGGAACAATGCTCTTGTGGACTCCCCACCTGCAGAGGATCAGTGAGGGGCTGGTGCTCTGTGAAATGGGTGCAGCTCTGATTGCCACCCCGACCCAGAAATGGATTAGGGGGTAGAAAATGGATGGATGATGGATGGAACAATGTTGTTTCATGGTTAAAAGATCAAAAAGGTCGATTTATTAACAAAAATATATTCTCCCAAATTAAACCACGGTTAAAGGTCAGGGATGGTTTGTGACTTTAATATGGCACTTTTGCTTTTGAGCAAGGATTTACACACCATAAGAAAGCTGCTGATAGAGATTATCGTCAGAGGCATTCTATATCCAGGCCACGCAGGGAGCAAATGGCTCCCTGTTGAGGGGAATTCGCTTTTCCCAGATAACGCGTGGGCTTGTGAAGCTAATTATGTTCTGAGTATAGCAGTATTGATAAAAAAGTGTAGGCATTTAGCCTCCCAAACTACGCGGCTGGCTAAGATACAAAACGTCGCATTGGGATCTCTGTATAGCCGAACAAACAGGCCCAGAGAGCTGCGCAGAGCCCCACCAAAAATGAGGGAAAATAAATTTGGACAGAACTTGTGTCGGCAAAGTTCTTTCTTTTCCTTCTTCATTCAGTGTTTCGTAAGAAGGTCATGAGAATATCTAATAGGTGAACATGTTTTAAAATTTTAACAAGAATGTCACAAAAAATAATATAAATCCTTGGGGCAAATCTTAAGCTTGAACCCCAGCAACACCCTCGTTCTTTATCACCGGGTACCGTATAAGTGGACTGAAGCAAGATCTAAATCAGCCTGAACATCGGTGATATTAAGAAAAAAGGCTGTGTCTCAAGGGATCTAAAGCCATGACGACATCAATTCAGAAATCCAGATGATTAGACAATTATTTTGTGCATTCATTTTTTAATAAGTCGTTGAGTTATCAACCAACTGCGCTGTGTGGGCACTAAGGGGCCTGCATTTTTTATTCAAAAGCATTTAAAAAATACAAAAAAAAGCCTCTTTATGGCAACTGCTGCTGCGAATCTCGAGGAACCATGTGCAACATCAGGCAAGTTTGGTAAGTGTCCTGCCCAAAGACAAAACGACAGTAGACATTGTGGGGGGATCAACCCTACGGACCATCAGGCCAAAGGCACTCATTCTACCCAACTGAGCTGCAGTCACCCTATTTAGTCCTGAGGCTACAGGTCCGTTTGTGTTGACGGGAACAATTGTTGTATAAATCTGAACTGACTGATCTGCTTGTGTGCATTCTTTGCTGTGGAGAGCTGGCATGCATGTTCTCCTTGTACAGCAGAATGTATGGACAGGAGCTTGGGACTGGTACATGGTGAAGGCACTCCGGTTTGGCTCCTGGATGAGCGGCTGCCGTGCCGTGGGCGAATGGCAGGGATTCTGCATTCTCAGCAAAGCTCGTCAAGATGTCAGCAGATTCTTCACCCCCCACTGTCAGGCCCTCAAGGGTCCAAGAGCGCACCTGAACCCCCAAGCAGCTCCAAGGCAACCACGAAGTATTACTCAAACAAGAGCAGCCAGTTCCAAATGGAGGGGCAGACCGGGGTGATGGTCTCCTCTCTTTAAGAAGGGTGTGTTCCAATTATCATGGGATCAACTCCTCAGCTCACATCTTTAAAGGATTTTTCACTTTACCAATCCTGGAGCTTTGAGGGGGCTTTATTCGCGGGGTCATGTATGCGTTCATAGACGGTGGTGGTGAGTGCTAATTTAGACGTTATCGTCTGTATTCCTCACTACACGTGCCCTCCCCATTCCCGTATAGTGTGACAGCTAGGTCGATCCCCAGCAGCATTCAGCCGTTTGTTTACCTCATCCACTTCTATACTGCGCCCTGGCTGTGGCACCAGTTAGTTGCCGTGACAGCTCATCCATCCGTATTTTAGGACCTGAAATTCTAAAACTCTAAAATGGGTTGTGTGTATTTACTTCTTTTTTTGTCAAATAAAACAAAATATTCTAAAAATTTGTAGCACGGGGGCAACATATGGCTCAGTCAAATACCCAATGAAATATCAGTTTTTCCACCAATGAAAGCTGTCAATACATGATGACCCTGTGCTGCCACCCCCTCTTTGTTCAGGCCCGGATGTCTTTGGAGAAGCGCTTGCAACACCTGTCCCAGGGCCTCCATTGAATGTACTTCCCGGGGGTGGTCTTCACGCTGCCATGCTGGAGTCACCCACTGATTCAGGTCCCACCGCTCTCTTAGAAGCAGGCCCAGTCAAGCCTTCGCCCAGAGCAGAAAAAACACATGCTCCCAATAACACTGGCCTACAGTACATCACTCATTTCTCATGAACATTCTGTATATTGTTTATATATGTGTACACACATTTTATCAGAGTTGGTTCCGTTGATCTCGGACCAAGTTTTGACATTGCTTGTAAAACTGATGCAGTGTAACCTGTGTAATACACTGCCAGGTGTGCTCAAGCTTATTTAGCTGCCTCATCATACCCAACGTGAAACTCCACTCGTGTCTCAAGTATTTGCGGCAAATGGGGATCTAGGTAACTTGGGCCTCTTTCACGCATCCCTAGTACGAAACTTCTTAAATTTCTACTCAAGTTGTCCATCAGTAGCTTTTCTAAGAAGACCCCACGTGCGGAGTACATCAACGCCGCGCTCGTAAGCCGCTTGAATTGTTCGCCGCATTGTTCTCTCAGCATTGAATGAATGCCAAATCCTCGTAAAGTACAGCGCGCGTGCCCGCGTGCTTCATTAGCCTTAGGTACTCTAGCCTAAGGTAACCGCCCCACTAATTTTGGCCCCCAAAATTTATAAGGGACTGCAGGCCGTCGTGCAGACGCCAGAGGAAACAGCACACGGCCTAAAGCAAAGAGTCTAATTTTCGGAGCAAAAAGAGTCACCTTTTTTCTTCTTTTACCAGACTGAGAATAAAGTCTTATAAATAGTTGACTTAAAAGTCGAAATATTATGATAATAAAGTCGAACTAGCAAAATTCTGAGATTAATCTAAAATATGATGAGATTAATCTGCAAAATGCTTATGATATTGAATATTTAAACATATATTATGTATTTAATTTAAAATGTATTTGAGATTAAACATCTAAACATATTTGGATCCCTAGGGGAGGAGATCACAGCGCAGAGAA